CTCGCTTTAAAAGCTCCTTTAATTTGTCAGCTCTATTGCTTCGCATTTAAAGCTCCTGTTCATCTCCTCAGGAGTAATTGGAAAAGTTGATACAACCCATATCAGTCCAGCTGACCCAACAACAAAAGCCATTTCTTAATGTATGTTGGTAACAGTAACAGCAGAAATAGAGAAAGAGAGAAGGTTGGTTCATTGCTGTCGGTGACAGGAGCTGATTATGTGCTCCACTAATCAACAGCTCAGAATGAACCAGCAGGGTTACGGCACACACACACTGCAAATGATTCTCATTCACATTTTTATGCTATCATGCACTGAAACAATGCATTTGTTCTATATAATAATGTGCATAATTGGTTGTCTTTTTCCCTAACAGTCCTTCAAAAGAATGTGGCTGCTTCTGCCCTTTTTAAAAGAACAGTTCTGCTGTTCTGTCCTTTCATTATTTTATAGTACATGACGAACTCGGGCATATTTACATATTTACACGCTTACCATATTTACTTAACTAGTAAAAAGGAAACCATCAGTCATTTAAGAGCATATCTCTGTCTACCTGTCTCTTTATTTTTCTGTCTTTCACTTGCTACTTTTCTTTCTGTCTTAAGGGCATTTTACACAGTGCATGGTAGGCAGTAAAATTATTTTTTAGATATATTTTTTAGCTTTCTTGTTTTCCATACATGTGATGTTGGACATAAAATGTTACCCACTATTGCTCAATGCTAGCAAACAAAAGCATGGTGCATTTATGAATGAGGCAAATACTATAGTAATATTATATTCCAGCGCTTTGCAACTAAATTGCTCTCATTATATTGAAGCGATCTACACATTTTTTGTATAAATTCTCAAAAATAAATAAATTGGATTTTTTTTTTTTTATGATTTTAGTTTTTAAAAAGTAGCATATATTTGAATGGATTCAAATACATTATTTTTTACATTACATGAATTATCATTAAAAGAAAGTCAGCTGGTGATCATCTTAATAATTATGTTCATAATTATAAAATAAATAATGCACCATTATTTTTAGTCTAGCATCGTGTTTGTACAGTAGCTGACTGATTTGCGTTAGTGACCATTTGTCCATAAAATGTGTTATTTTTTTCCATAAAATAGGCTAAGCACAAATAAAAATCAGCCTAAATAAATGTAATTGGTGAGAAGACCGGATATGAGATGTTTTTTAGGATTTATATAGCTCAGGAAAATCAGCAAAAGCATTTTTTGACAACAAAAAGGTTTTATTGTGAATAAAAGCAATGGAAAGATATATTTAACCTTTAAATGTCTTCTTTTTTAATCTTTCCACATGCACAACGAATCAGGATTTTTGAGCACAAGCTCGGCAACCAGTGTTGCTTTCAGTGCCGCCTCCGTTCTGCCGCCTCTATCCCATTGAAAATGAACTGAAAACCCTTTGTAACAATGTACTGTGTAAAATGGCCTTACAAATCCTTCCTTTTTCTTCATCTTTGGTGTGTGTCTTAATACCCTGCTATTGCTGACCATTGCAACATGTTTTCTAATCTAACCCCACCCATGCACACACACACAAAGACACACACACAAAACCTCTGTCACTTCCTATCTGCCAGATTGGCCAGTAGATCAATAATACAGTAGCCAAGATGTTCAGACTTTCGAATATATCAGTGGACAGCCGAAGGTCATGCTGTAGGGTTTAGTCACATGACTCGATCTTGTGCTGTCTGCCCTATTACTTCACACAATGTCACAGATGTCTCTCTCCCGCACGCAGCAGAGGAGCCTTGAAGGGAAGAGAGAGAATCAAGACAGGTGGAGAGGTGGTTGAGAGAGATGCTGTGAAGGAGTGTGGTGACAGCAGAAAACGGCGAGAAAGAGAGAGGAGGAAGAAACGAGTAAGGTTGAGAACACAGTCTGCCATCAGCAAATCTAAATGTGTGAATACATTATTGATCCTGTGAGTCTCTGAGTTTCACTCGCTCCGTCTCGGTGAGGACCGAGGAATCGGGGCAACAGCTGTCGGGAGCTCCCTCTGCTGAGATGCTGTCTAACTCCATCAGATCACGGTATTGAAGTGAACATTACAGTTTAAACCCTGTGCCTGTTACGCTGGCTGCTGTATGTTAAAAAGGCCACAAGGATTGACAGTGTCTTTTGAATTACAGGGTCCACTAAACAAACAGCAGTCGAATGCTGAAGATCCTTTGAATTATATTTCAGTGTCTGGAGTTGGTGATTATACCAGGCCTGGAATTTTCTGTTTACTCCTCGCAATAGAGAATAACAAGAGCAAAGAGAGCTTTCTAATTAATTACAGTGAAAGAAAGTTATTCTTCTTTCAGAAAGTATTTACCTCTTTCTGCTAAACCTCCCATAAAACATCCCTTCTGTAAACAATACATACATTTTCATGTAATCCTTAAGTGAAAGGTAAACATATTTGACAAGCACAAGACTCAACTCAAGCTATAAGTACCCCTTTGAATTTTATTTTATTTTATTTTTAAGGAACCGATGTTTGAATTTATTTTATTTTGTTTATTTTCCTGTATTTGAATTTGAATTGGCTTGAGAGACAACTGCATTATTTGGTGCAAGAATTGTTTTTGAGTTTTATTACTATATTAACTGTTTTCCCACATATATTCCCATATCCCCATATATATGAATTTATTGATGCATTGATGCATTTAGCTTTTTGTATAAAAGTAATAATCTACTCGAGACTGTGCATTACAGTGTTTTTATCAAGGCTAAGGATGACTGCTTTAACAACACCCTTTTATTAGTGTAAAATCAATATAATGCATGACTTCCCTTGGCTTGTTGCTTTAATACGCTTTGATTTGAAATGTCATACACTATATGAGTTAATGTTAAACACATGCCCATAACATGGCCTTTACACCAGAGTTACAGCTGCTAAATGAAGAACTGAGGTAAATAAACTAATGATGAACCTCTGTACAGACACCCAACCTCCATGTAGTGTTTGCCATCTATTATTAAGACTAGGCATTTGATGAAAGAGCCGTTTACCTCCAAACAGAACAGAAGCGTGCAGAATAAATTAGGAAATTGAGCTTACCACCTTGTTTGTACTTGGATCTACTAGGCGATTCCTGACCAGCATTTCAGTCGTGTTTACGGATGTCTCCTGTAAATTATTTACAATGTATTATTTGTTAGATACGTGCATGAAATGCTCGAGAACCACAGAGAGATGCTCATTTTGCATAAACCGAGAGCAGAGGTTGCCTGTTTCTAAAAAATTATGGCACGCCCTTCCACAACTACTCTCCCCCGAGCTAGCCTAGAGAACAATGCGATTATGAAACAGGTCATTAGGTCATTGTAGTCCTCCCAATGTGCCATCAAAGTTCACTCTGGCATTTTTAGCTTCAGAGAAGCCCATATGCAGACTTTGGAAGACCAAAGGGGTTACGATCAATAATTTAAACAAAAGCTTTTAGTCGAACACAATGAGCTGGAGAATTCTGCTCAAAATACGCACTTCTTCTATTCTAGGGGCCGCACTAGCACAAATGCGCACACAGAGGGTTCCTGTATTTGCTGAGCCATGCTTAATTAGAACACAGCCTCTGGAGAGCAGGGCAGAAGATAGACAGGGCTCTGGGGACCGGGACTCAACTCTGCCCCTTGTGACAGGGATTCCCACTCCAGACTGACTGTCGCCATGGCAAGGGTTGCCTTGGTGCTGTCGCCCGTGGATTCTGTGTGGACAGGAGCAGGAGAGTGACATAGACAGGAAGTGATGGCTTTGGATAGGGAGGCTTCAGATGCCATAACACACAAACAGACAGTGACACGCTCGCACGCCCACACACGTGCAACAGAGTTATCGGGGGTGAAGAGATTATTTCCTATTCCAGCACATCAGATTTTTCCTCTCCATAGGGGTTTTCCATCTTCCCCAGGGCCCTTGTGGGTGTGATCTATTTTATGCTTTAGAACAGGATTTATAGCCATGTATTTATGTATGAGAGGCTGTATATTTGAGCAGTGGAAAAATTGGTTACAGATGGAATATATTAGATTTTTTTTATTGATGCTGTGTGTGGGTCATGGACAAGAAATATATAAAGATATACATTTTGGCATACATCAGATGGTAAAAGTGAAAAGTATGAATTAAAAGTTCTTTGTAACAGATATGAAATTAACTTATCCTCTAATCACTTAGTGAATGTTTTAAAGTAATTTTAATACTTAATCTTCAACTTATTTCAGTTAGTTGTCAAAGCAACATTTATACTGTCTAATCTAATGTAAAATTTATATTTGATTTTATTTCAGCTTTATTTCGTTGAATGAAAAATATTTGTAATAGTTGTAATCACTTAATGAAAAGGTAAATGGTCACTCGCATCTTGAAAGGAGAAATGCAACTGTTCATTATTAAATTTTTATTTCACAAATAAACAAAGGATCAGTGTTATTTTAGTATTGAAAATATGAATAGTAAAATATATACTAATATTAAGAATGTATTAATATTGTTAGCTTTTAATTTTAATATATTCAGTTTTCATTTTCAAGTTTTATTAATTTTATGTGCTTTTGTCATTTTTGTTATTAAGGTTTTTTTTTTTTGTTTGTTTTAGTTTGAATAATTGTGATACATCATATTAAAATTATTTTAGTCAGTTGCCAAGGCAATATTTCTCATTATTGTTCATAAATATTAAGTTTTAATAAAACGCAATATTCATATTTTATTATGTCAGCTTAATTCAAATGAATGAAAGTGACTTTTATCAGTTTTAATTACTTAGAGTAATAATAAGGAACAGTTGTATTTCTGCTTTCAGGATGTGTGTGGCCATTGACCTTTTCAATCTGACCCCTGGTGAGCCCAATTATGTCACATATGTGGAAAGTTGTAACAGGGGTCAGACTTGATGTAGCTGTATAGGTTGGTATTAGTATGTGGAGGCTTGAAGGCTGATGGTAACCAATATTACTTTGTGTGTGTGTGGTTGCAGTTGGATAATCTGGACGAGCAAGCAGCTCAGATCAGGAGAGAACTGGATGGGCGTCTGCAGATGGCTGATCAGATTGCCCGGGTAAGTCTCATCATTTGATCACTTACACGTGGACAGAGATGCCCCGGACGTGCTGTAAACAGAACTGGCATCCATTCCATTGCAACTCAGCCAATTCAGTTTATGTACCCACATTCATTTTATAATTCAAACCGACTAGAATTTTGCCAAGTAGGACTTGTTCCATAATGAATATATTTTGGGTCAAGTTGACATTTTGAATTAAGTTCATTTAAGCCTTCTTCTATTTAAGCTGATAAAATACTAGTTTTTAATAATGCTAACATCAGTGGTATTTTTTACATTTTTAATCGGAATAATTAAAAATATTAGAATTTTTTCTAACTTCTTTGCTATTTCTTAAAAAAATTCAGGCTGGCAAATTCCCCAAGTTTGTGTCGAAGGAGATGGAGGCTATGTATATCGAGGAGCTGAAGAGCTCAGTCAACCAGCTGATGGCTAACCTGGAGAGCATGCCGGTTTCAAAGGGAGGAGAGTTCAAACTGCAGAAGCTAAAGAGGGGACACAACACCTCCATCATTGATATGGGCCAGGTCACAAATAAACAAAGGATCAGTGTTATTTTAGTATTGAAAATATGAATAGTAAAATATATACTAATATTAAGAATGTATTAATATTGTTAGCTTTTAATTTTAATATATTCAGTTTTCATTTTCAAGTTTTATTAATTTTATGTGCTTTTGTCATTTTTGTTATTAAGGTTTTTTTTTTTTGTTTGTTTTAGTTTGAATAATTGTGATACATCATATTAAAATTATTTTAGTCAGTTGCCAAGGCAATATTTCTCATTATTGTTCATAAATATTAAGTTTTAATAAAACGCAATATTCATATTTTATTATGTCAGCTTAATTCAAATGAATGAAAGTGACTTTTATCAGTTTTAATTACTTAGAGTAATAATAAGGAACAGTTGTATTTCTGCTTTCAGGATGTGTGTGGCCATTGACCTTTTCAATCTGACCCCTGGTGAGCCCAATTATGTCACATATGTGGAAAGTTGTAACAGGGGTCAGACTTGATGTAGCTGTATAGGTTGGTATTAGTATGTGGAGGCTTGAAGGCTGATGGTAACCAATATTACTTTGTGTGTGTGTGGTTGCAGTTGGATAATCTGGACGAGCAAGCAGCTCAGATCAGGAGAGAACTGGATGGGCGTCTGCAGATGGCTGATCAGATTGCCCGGGTAAGTCTCATCATTTGATCACTTACACGTGGACAGAGATGCCCCGGACGTGCTGTAAACAGAACTGGCATCCATTCCATTGCAACTCAGCCAATTCAGTTTATGTACCCACATTCATTTTATAATTCAAACCGACTAGAATTTTGCCAAGTAGGACTTGTTCCATAATGAATATATTTTGGGTCAAGTTGACATTTTGAATTAAGTTCATTTAAGCCTTCTTCTATTTAAGCTGATAAAATACTAGTTTTTAATAATGCTAACATCAGTGGTATTTTTACATTTTTAATCGGAATAATTAAAAATATTAGAATTTTTTCTAACTTCTTTGCTATTTCTTAAAAAAATTCAGGCTGGCAAATTCCCCAAGTTTGTGTCGAAGGAGATGGAGGCTATGTATATTGAGGAGCTGAAGAGCTCAGTCAACCAGCTGATGGCTAACCTGGAGAGCATGCCGGTTTCAAAGGGAGGAGAGTTCAAACTGCAGAAGCTAAAGAGGGGACACAACACCTCCATCATTGATATGGGCCAGGAAGATGAAAACCAGCTATCCAAGTCTGATGTTGTGCTGTCTTTCACACTTGAGGTAAGAACTGTTCTAGCCTTCAGGCAGTGTAGTTTAGTTTTGTGCTCAAGGCCAGGGTTCACATAGTATGCCGTCTCATCGGGCCCAGGGGAGAGAGAGTGATTTTTAGTTGTGGCCCTGCTCAAGGCTTCCATGCATTTGACTTTCTTTGGTGAAGGTTTGTGACTTCTCTGTCTTGTCTGTTTTGCATACAATTAACCATTAAGTGTTAAACAAATAACCAAACCTGAGAGACAATGTCAGATGCGGAAAGAGTGGTAGGAGGAGTAGTTCACCAAAAAATTTACATTTGCTGAAAATTTACTCACCCTCAGGCCATTTAAGATGTTTATTTTTTATCAAAACAGATTTTGAGAAATTTAGCATTACATCACTTGCTCACCAATGAATCCTCTGCAGTGAATGGGTGCTGTCAGAATGACAGTCCAAACAGCTGATAAAAACATCATAATAATCTACAAATAATCCACATGACTCAAGTCCATCAATTAATGGATTTGTTTTTTACAAACACACAGATTTTCATTTCACAAGATGTTAACTGATGGACTGGAGTCGTGTGGATTACTGTGGTGTGTTTTTATCAGCTGTTTGGACTCTCATTCTGACGGCACCCATTCACTGCAGAGGATCCATTGGTGAGCAAGTGATGTAATACTAAATTTCTCTAACTCTGTTTTGATGATCAAACAAACTCTTCTACATTCTGGATGGTCTGAGGGTGAGTACATTTTCATTTTTGAATGAGCTTTTCCTTTAAGCATTTTTGGTGCTAGTTCCATTAAAACAACAGACTTTGCCAAGTATTTTTAGGTTTTAGCTGTAGCGGTATCCTTTGAACTGTTAAAATGTGCTGATTTGAACAAAACTTTGTAAAAATAGTCTGTAGCATGTTACAAAGTTGAAAAAAGTGCAACAATCTCAAAAAGCGCTTACTACCATGCTTGCAAATATCTTTTGGGAGTCTAAGGGTTTGCCTCTCATCATTTCGAATTAATAGACAGTCCTTAGTTTTGATAGAGAATTTAAATGAGTAGCAATGATAAATTTAGCAACATTAGCAACTGCAGTGTTAGTTTAACACATGCATCTATGAGATTTTAATCTTTACTGAGTTTCCAGCCCTTGCTAGCGCATAAATTATGCAGACAGAAAGGGCTGCAGCATATTAAAAAAAGGTTATACTGCATTTTTGATAAATGATGCCTCTGAGAAATCTCCCCTCTCAAGTCTCAGGTTTTGCTATAATTATACTATCTTGAGCTAGCTCGTTTTCAGGGCAGTTGATTATAACGTGGCATGGCTTTAGTAGTCACAGTGGCTGACAGAGCAGTGTTTTATGGATTTGATAGTCTGGCTTCTGTCTTTGGAGTCTATTTTGTTTTGGGGAGCTACGAGCTGCCGGATTTTATAGGTGCTCTGGGTGTGTGGATTGATTTTCGCTCCAGACGTAAACAGTGCTTATTCAATGAGTGTCAAGAACAAGAAAGTTACATACTAATAAAAGTTGATAATGTGGTCAAGAAGTTGAGTGGATCCTGATTGGCTGCTAATGAAATAAGAGCTTTTAAAACAGCATCCAAGGGAATGTTTAATTGATTATGTGAGCATTACAAAACATACTATACCTGCATGTAAAATACAACCAAATGTTTATTTTGTGTAGGTGGTGATTATGGAAGTTCAGGGGTTGAAGTCGCTGGCTCCCAACCGCATTGTGTACTGCACAATGGAGGTGGAAGGTGGAGAGAAGCTACAGACGGACCAGGCTGAGGCCTCCAAACCCACGTAGGCCACTTTCTTTATTTTCTCTCACTTTTTTTTTTTTTTTTTTGTAAATACCTTTTAATGGCTCATTTGCAATTCATTTTAAGATTCAAATGATTTTGAATATCAAAATTAACATCTACAGTACCATTCAAAGGTTTGGGGTTGGTAAGATTTTTGTCCCTTATGCTCACCAAGGCTGCATTTATGTGATCAAAAATATAGTATAAACAGTAATACTGATAAAAGTATTACAAATTAAATTTTAATTTTTTAAACAGCTAAATTTTCAGCAGCCAGAAAGTTCACAAGAACAGCATTTATTTGAAATTTAAATAAATTAAGTGACTTAACTGTCACTTTTGATTAGTTTATCAAAAATTTTAATTTCTTTCAAAAAAATCTTAGTAATTCCAAACTTTTGAACATTAGTGTATATTTTTATAGTTTTACATTCGTGTGTTAAAATGCTTTAAAATATGTGTAAATGTATGTAGATATGGGTATTTCATTGGCTAATGCTGACATCTGGAGAGCAATGTGGAAGGCGTCTGATGTAATGTCAAAATGTATACAAATACTACTTTTATCAAATGTTTACTCAAAATTCATATTATAATAAAATTAATTGCTAATAATAAGCTACATTTTAGTTATAAGTTCTGTAGATTTTCTATGGATTGGTAGATTTTCCCTAAAATTAGACATCTTATGATGAGACAATATACAATCTTTCACATTCTCAGCATGCATTACATTCATAATATGGGACATTTTTCTAACGGCAGTGCAGTTTCAGGTGCTGTGTCCTCCAACTAGAACTCTTATTTGGCCAGAGGCAGTTACTCAAGGGATGAGCACATGACATGGTGCTATTTTTGGGCCCTATGTTCCATCTTTGGATCAGATGCCAATTTATAATGAGCTAAAGAGTGAGAGGGAGCATGGTAGAGTGAGAAAGAATCAGAGAATATGAGACACAGCCTCCATGTCCCCTCAGAAAAGTATTCAGCTATGGAGAAAATGATTAGGAGTGCGTATCCCAGCGGAGGGGGGAGAAGCGAAGGAGAGAGAGAGACAGAGAGCCTCCAGCACTCCTGGAGAATAATGACGTCACGTGAGAATTAGCATTTAGATTCTATCATCACACACACCAACCTTCACATGTGTGTGTATGCGTGAGAATGTGCACATACACATGCCTTTGACGGTAGTAAAATCTGCTTCATATACAAGGTCACCTTCTTGCCCCACAAATGAGGAAAACCTACAATGAAGCATAGTCTTCAAGGACATTTTCTTCCCCGTTTTATACCTTACTCTTTTCTATGCTTTCCTTCAAGGGCTGGGCAGTATAGCAAAAAAATCAATATAAAGCAAGAAAAAAAAAAGAATAAATAAATAAAATCTCAGTATTTTTTGACTATAATCCTTGAACATGTTTTCCACATTGCTTTTCACTATGTGATCACAAGAAAGAGTTATTTATTTTGCACCAGTGAATAGTAATAGATAAAACACTAATAGATACCTACATATATTTTAACATTATTTCAGATTTTTTAAATGATACCTTTTTAACACTTTTTTTAGTTATATTTCATTATTTAAATTTTTTTATTAGTTGAAAAATACCATGCAAAAATACCATTTTAAATGCTGACGCAAATGAATAATTGAATCCGAGTTTTTTTTTCAACCATTTTTTGCTACTAAAGTCAAATCAAAGATGCTATTGAAACATTCAAGTCAAGTCACCTTTATTTTTATAATGCTTTATACAATAGACATTGTTTCAAAAAAACATTACAATATTAAACTGGAAAATAACAGAATCAATTATGCAAATCCAAATTGTGCTATAAAGCAGCTGTAGCAAGACGATAGTGTCATTATTCAGCTCCGGTCGTTTCAGTGTTGCTTCAGTTCAGTTCAATAACTGTGTAAAGTTTATTCATTGTGATCAAGTTCAATTAATAAGCAGCTCTACTGAAGACAGTAGTGTCGTTTTTTAACTCGAGTCCGTTCAGTGTTGATTCAGTTCAATTTAATAACAGTATCGATGTTGCAATCAGCACATCCCACATTCACAAAGTTGTTTCTTTTTACGTCACCAGCAAAATGGTAGGGGAAAGCGGGGCACAAAGTAACACTTTTTGACTTTCTCAAATTGTGTAAATCCACATGGGGTTCAGAGTATAATTTTTTTATCCACAGTAATTTCACACTTGTCTAGTACAAATATGTCGCTTTGTTTCATAATTACAATGTATACATTTTTCTTTATTTACCCTCAAAAATTGGAAGTGAAATGTGACAACATGTCCTGTAGGTGGGGTACATTGTAACAGCTGAGGGGCACGTTGTAACATGAGCATATGACAGCTTAAAATGTGATCTGATCGCATTAAAAAAATATACAAGACAAACTAAAATATTTTGTCAATAAAATAAAATAATTATTTATTTCAAATAAAATAATGGCTTTTTAAAAATGTATATTAAATCTGTTTATTGAACTTTTACAATAATAACAGGATACAGATACAGGAGAATCATGAAAAAATTGACAAAAAACAACAACAACAAAAAACCACTTCATTAAAGTATAATTAAACAAAAAAAAAATTTTTTTTTTAAAAACTCGATACATATTGTAAAACAAAGAACGTCAAGCCTAATGTCTCGAGTATAGAATATATGTTGGAGCATTAAAGTTTAGACATTTCGACCATCTATCAAATGTATGCATATACCTCCACAAACAATACCTTACAGCTTTAAAGTATATACATATGCATACGTAAATATCCACACATATAATCACCGACTCCTAACCAGATTTGGGCCAGAGTCATATTAACATCTTAAAGCTTAGGTTGACACACTCTAAGAAGAAGTACTGACATATTCAGAAAAAATTAATTGTAATGGCGTTTTTTAAGAATTAAAAATAATCTGATTTTGGAGTTTGACAATGAACACATTGCAACCATGCTTGGGACGGCCCACATAAACGAGCCAAAATGCTTTACATGTCTTGAAATAATAATTTCTTAACATTAAACATTGACTGTCAGTCTTTATTCAACTGTTTTTCGTCGTTTATCATTAAAATTTATTAAAGTAAATAGTGTGAATTACATCGCTAATGTCATAGAATAGCACATTGTAACGCAGTGTTACAACGTGCCCCATCTGCGCAACTGGAGATTAAAACCGGTTACTGTCTTATGATAGTTAGCAAAGCATTAAAAAAATCATCTAAACTGATAAATAACAGATTGGAGATTAAAATAATAGCAGATTTGTCTCATTTTAAATGAGTAATAAAAACTGAGATGAAAAATTGACTTAAGCTAGAAATATAATTTTGCTATGGTAAAATACATTTTCAGCGCACTTTTTTTCTCTATATAATGTTGATATGGTAACTAGTAAATGCTGTAAATTTGGTTATGCTAGCATGTGTGGAAATATTTAAATCACGTGTGTTACAACTAACCCCGTGCTCCCCTACATTTACTGTGAATATTCAGTATATCGCCCAGCTCTACTTCCTTTCCCATATCAAAGCTCCCCTGCTCCCCTGCTCCCCTGCTCCCCTTTATTCTCTATCCATGATTCTGTTCCATTCTTTTCCTCTTCTTGTAACTTAAATTTTGCTTTCCGCTCTCTCTCTTTTCTTCTTTCAACTGTAAAGCACTTAGCTCTTATAAAAGCCTTATGATTATGAGTCACTAGTTAGCAAAGCATTAAAAAAATCATCTAAACTGATAAATAACAGATTGGAGATTAAAATAATAGCAGATTTGTCTCATTTTAAATGAGTAATAAAAACTGAGATGAAAAATTGACTTAAGCCAGAAATATAATTTTGCTATGGTAAAATACATTTTCAGCGCACTTTTTTTCTCTATATAATGTTGATATGGTAACTAGTAAATGCTGTAAATTTGGTTATGCTAGCATGTGTGGAAATATTTAAATCACGTGTGTTACAACTAACCCCGTGCTCTCCTACATTTATTGTGAATATTCAGTATATCGCCCAGCTCTACTTCCTTTCCCATATCAAAGCTCCCCTGCTCCCCTTTATTCTCTATCCATGATTCTGTTCCATTCTTTTCCTCTTCTTGTGACTTAAATTTTGCTTTCCGCTCTCTCTCTTTTCTTCTTTCAACTGTAAAGCACTTAGCTCTTATAAAAGCCTTATGATTATGAGTCATAGAACTCAGTCTATATTCATGTATTCATGCTGTCACTGGCAGTTGGAAACAGAGAGAATTGGCTCATTTTGGCAAAGCATAACAGCGCTAATGGACACACAAAAATGTGTCACATCAAACAGACATGCTGAAGCAGAAAGATTAAGAGGAGGACGAGATAGCGAAAGAGACAGCAGAATCGGCGAGAAAAGGAAATTTGACATTCTGATGTACTTAGAAAAAGTTATTCAGTCAGCTGCTCAAGAATAAACATATCTTGGACTGTCCCAAAGGCACCTTCACACATACACACACACAGTTCAGCTATGCATGGCCTTGTGCAGTGTCAGCAACCTCTCTGACACTCGCCGTTTGCACTGTTAGAATGCTAACCCATCCATATCCATGGAAACCATACATACACGCAATCAGAAACGAAACATCTTTCATTCATTAACATAAGACTTTGCTATTATTTTCGATTTATCAGTGCAAAAACCTGATTCTTATTCACTAACCACCTGTCAAACCAGAAGTTAACTTCAGAATAGCATTCCAGTGCATTTAAATGAAGTCTTTGTAATGTCTCTTTTCTTTATACGGTAAATTATTTATTATATATATTGATTGCACCACATTTGCAACATTCACAATTGCACAGTTACTGTCTGCAGATAGTTCTTTGAGTGCATATTTTGCTACAGCAACATAGACAGTATGTGAAAATCATGAGAGGGTGCCATTCATTCCTTGTGAATTCCTCCCTTTGTGTTATAAAATATTTAATATCCCTTGTAGGCCCTTAGAAAAATATAGCGGCAAACATTTGGCCAGCAAATTTTCCTCAAGCTCAAATTTTCTTTGTTGCAAATAAAAGAGTTTTTGCTAATAGACTCCGTTCTCAACCGCCCAGCCGTTATATGTTTATCGCCCCCTGGTGTTCATCAAACAAATTGACGATTGTGTTCACCCGTCGCTCAATCGGCATTTGTCACTTCTCCAAGTGATAAGTCACACTTCCCACCACACACATAGCAGATTTTTTTCCCTCTTGCGCTAGCTTTCTCTTTTTCCCTCTTTTCCATTCCATCTCTTTTTCGCTCTCCCCCTTTTTCTTTCTGTTTCATTTGACTGCTGCCTCTGAAATGTGCAGCCTGTTTCCACGGCAGCAGATCATGTCACGTGGTTCAGTTTTACTAGGCCAACTCTACCCCTCACCCTGTGTGAGTGTGCAGGAGAGAGTGTATCTGTGATTTCCTAGGTGTACGTTTCTATATTGTTGCATCATATTATTCTGAGATTTTGTGCATTTATTATTTATAATATCAATACTGATTGTTTAAAGCATGTCTGTGAGTTATAGTCTTTTCTCACTCTCACTGAGACCCGCTAGAGTTTGATCTCCTATACACAAGTTGAAGATAGCAGAGCTGCACATTTATTATATTTCTCCCTTTATGAAGGCTTTACACAACAAACATATGGATTAGTGGCCATAAAGAGGAGATAAGCATAGTGGGACTGTAACAGCGGTGTTTTCTTTAAGGAATTAAAGGATGCAGTGCTTCCACAGAAAAATTTGGATGAAAAATAATAGTACATAAAGCTTAAAAAAATAATAATTGACACTAGCAAATAAAGTTTATACTGAGGTTTCTTTTGCTTCATTGTCATGCTAAAGAGTAGCATGAATTTGACTGTAAATTGGGGAAATCTGGGGAAATTGTGTTAAGTGAAAGTAAAGAAAGTAAATTAGATATATATGGAATAAATATCAAGTTAATTAATATGCTTCAGAATGTTTGCTAATGTTACTTAAAGGAATAGTTCTCCCAAATAAAAAAAATGCTGAAAATGTATTCACCCTCAGGCTATCCAATATGTAAATGAGTTTATTTATTCATCAGAACAGATTTGGAGAAATTTAGCATTGCATCACTTTCTAACCAGTGGATCCTCTGCGGTGAATGGGTGCTGTCAGAATGAGAGTCCAAACAGCTGATAAAAACATCACAGTAATCCACAAGTAATCCAGTCCATCAATTAATGTTTTGTGAAGTGAAAATATCTTTGTTTGTAAGATACAATTCCATCATTATGGCGTTTTAGACAAAAAACTAAAGCAAAAGCACTTTTTCTCAGGTCTGCTACATGACACTGGACTGTAACAATGCATGGGTACAGAAAGAGTAAATAATGGTGGACTATGAATGTGCACTTTCGAAATCTTCTTTAAGTTATTTATTTATTCTTTTATTTTCCAAATGTCAGACTTGTCCGTTGTGTCAGAGAATCTAGTACCAGTAATCACCAGAGAATATCCTCTGCTGAAAGCATTTATGTACAAAATCATCAGACGGTACACTTCACCCACTGGTCTGTCTCTCATGCACTTGACATTCAGTATGAGATTTTTACGACCTTATCAAATGATTTGTTAGCAAACGATTTCATCAGCCCTGCCGTGTAGCCGAATAGGACTGCGGAGATTGTTTTCCTCGCTGATCAAAGTAATACAATGAAAACAAGGGTTGCGAGATGTCCCTGTGCGCAGCGGTTACGCAGTGATAAAGTAATAAAGAGCGGCCGAGTTGTCAAGGAGATCTATGATACCTGGAGAAAGCCATATGTTAGCATTCCTATACATCTTAAAGTGGGTTGTTCGGCAGGGGCAAGAGCCCCTTGAAGTAACACCTTGGTGGCTGTACTGTTTGTGTGTGAGAATGATGAAAATGAGTGTAGAAAATAAATACTGTAGAAGCCTAAAATCAAGGACATCAATGGAGTTTGTGTGTATGTGTGTTCTCAGTTGGGGAACCCAAGGAGACTTCACCACCACACACCCTCTGCCAGCGGTCAAAGTGAAGCTCTTCACAGAGAGCACAGGGGTCTTGGCCCTCGAGGACAAGGAGCTGGGCCGGGTAACTCTCGATCCTTCTTTTCTTTCTTGTGGCTTTGGACATCAGTCGTTCTGTTTTTGTTTTTTTTTGGAGTTTGAGGATTATTTGAGGTTGTTATGGTGCTATAGAAGTGATGTCTTACTTTATAATTCTTCTTTTGCCTCATTCTCCTGCTGATTGATGCTTGTGGCTAAACAAGAATCTCCAGGCTTGAAAATCCCTGTAAAGAAACAAGAAGCACGACAAGAATCAGATCAAATCCCTGTTTTGTTTCTACAGTGAATATTTGTTTTTTATTTAGAGGTTATATTCCCAAAGAACAAAACAGGCTTCCTTTTAACGAGTTAGAATTTTAATTGAATTGACCACACCCCTCTGGATTTTTTTGGCTAATTATGCTTGTTTATTAACTAGGCTATGATAAGTACTGTGCTGTTAAACACAGGCATCACAAATGCCTATATTTTTCAGATAATTTTATACAAAATAAGCAATATAAAATTTGAATCTAATTGTTATCTAATATATTTAGTAGATTATAGTGTACTCAGTTATTGTGTGGGAAATGCTCTTCTACCATGATTCATAGAATTAATAATAAAAAATAAAAAGAGACATACAATACAGTTCATAAGGTTGGGGTCAGTTGGATTAAAAAAAAATACTGATATTCAACAAGTATGCATTAAATTGATCAAGTGTGACAGTAAATACATGTATTTCTGTTTCAAATAAAGGATGTTCTTTTAAACATTCTATTCATAATAGAATCTTGTATCATGGTTTCCACCAAAATATTAAGTAGCATTAATATTAAGCAGCATATTAGAATGATTTCTCATTAATCATGCGACCCTGAAGACTGGGGTAAAAGCTACTGAAAATTCATCTTTGATAAAATAAATGCAGCCCTGGTGATCATTAGAGACTTCTTTCAAAAACATTTTAAAGGTCTTTCTGACCATAAACTTTTGAACAGTAGTGTGTGTGTATGTTATTATTAAAGCAATGTCATTTCTTTTTAAATGTACATTTTTATCCAAATTCAAATTGCAATTCTCCATCCTGTTTGCAACCTTAATTAGAATTCCTGAATTGGAATCTAAAAAACATTCTACATTCAAGGACTCTGAGGTCCTCTAATTAGGACATTGTTAACCTGCTTTTTGACCTTGACGGATGCTGGATTGGTACAGGGTTTAAAAAATGTGTCTCCATCAAGACTAAAGTAGACAGGCATCTCTAAGCCTTTAACTCTAGCTAAGAAATAGATTACGCCAACTTATCAGAGAGAGAAAAGAGAGAATAAAAAGCACAGGAGAGAATACGAGAGAAACCGGCTCTTCTCTGATAAGGTGCCAAGAGAAGAGCTGTACAGTCTAACTCTCAGTACACAGCCACATGAGCCAAAATTAATTGAATGTTGAGAATTTCTCTGAAAACGCTGACTGGCAAAGTAATATGTCATTATCAGCTCACACCCAGACTCAGGGATATTTTCCCACACCCACACAACCTGTTTATCCGTTTACTGAATGCTTCATGTGTGAAAATGTCTTAGAGTTTCTAGAGCAGACACTAGCTATAGGATTACATGTTAAAGGGATAGCTCACCAAAAATGGAAGTTGTGTCCTGAAAGAAGGTCATACGGGTTTGGAACAACATTTGAGAGTGTAAATAATTACAGAAGTTTAATTTTGGATGTGCTGTTCTTATTAATGGTGATAGCTTTGTTTCTCACTCTGTGGTTGCTCAGTCTGGTGTTAGGACTTATAATCATGATTCTCTCATGTTGAATGATTAGGTGGTTCTTCACCCAACTCCAAACAGCCCAAAGCAGGCAGAGCTCCACAAGATGACTGTGACCAAGGCCTGCCCTGATCAAGATCTGAAGATCAAACTTGCCGTGCGCATGGACAAACCTCAGAACATGAAAGCTTGTGGGTAAGGGATTTTGTGGGGACAGGAATACTCATCTATAAAAGTCTTCAGTTCATTTGGAGATTGCATTTCAAAACAGTATCATCCAGACATAACATCTTTTATTTCATGATTTAATGAAACACTATGTACTATATTGCTCTCTACCATTTGTGGTCAGTAAGATTTTTTTTTATGCTTTTGAAAGTCTCTTATGCTTACCAAGGTTGCATTTATTTGATAAAAATACAGTAAAACCAATAAAATATTGTGAAATATTGTAAAATAAATACTGTGAAATGTTACTACAATTTAAAATATATTTTCTATTTTAATGCGTTTTAAAATGTAATTTATTCCTGTGGTGAAAAAGCTGAATTTTCAGCAGCCATAATTCCAGTCTTTAGTATAACATGATCCTTCAGAAATCAATCAAAATGCTGATTTGGTGCTCAAGAAACATTTCTTATTATTATCAATATTGAAATTAAACAGTATTGCTGTTGTGGAAACCATGCTATGTTTTTTTCATGATTCTTTTATTAATAGAAAGTTCAAAATAACATAATTTATTTAAAATAAAAAACGTTTGTTGCATTATAAACGTCTTTACTGCCACTTTTGACAAATTTAATGCATCCTTGCTGAATAAAAGTATAAAAAAAACTTACTGAACCAAAATATTTCAACGGTAGTGTATGAGAGTATGTATGAGTTGAAGTAAAATACTGTGATTATTTCTTTAGGTATTTATGGGCTGCTGGCAAAAACGTTTGGAAACGCTGGAAGAAGCGCTTCTTTGTCTTGGTCCAGGTATATCTTTTTATATATTTAAACTGAGTGCGTGAAAAATATGATGAAATTTAACAAAGTTTGGTTTCGGCTTCCATTTGAAGTGCCTTTCGGTCATCAGGGCCTTAATGAACCATGTACAATTTTAAGTAGCGCATATGACACAGATTTAACCCAGACAATCTAATGGGCTGCATATGGCATATTAAGCATTTTAAAACTATTTGTTTCTCTTTCTCCTACAGGTGAGTCAGTATACCTTTGCCGTTTGCAGCTATCGAGAGAAGAAGTCAGAACCACAGGAGCTGCTGCAGTTAGATGGCTATACTGTGGACTACACTGACCCACAGCCAGGTAATACTCCCACAGTCACAGATTACTCTTATGTACCTATTCTTACTTTATGGTTCTCAGACGTTAGTGGAACATGTCCATAGTTGATGTAATAATCTACATCTTTGTTTTTTTTGTTTGTAAATGTGTCTAAAATGCATTTTAGGTGTATCCACCAACCTGAATTTACTTGAAGTTGACTTCTTTTATTTCTGTGTGTACAGGTCTGGATGGAGGCCGGGCTTTCTTCAATGCAGTGAAGGAGGGTGACACTGTGATCTTTGCCAGTGATGATGAGCAGGACCGCATCCTATGGGTGCAGGCCATGTATCGAGCTACTGGCCAATCACACAAACCTGTCCCGCCCACCCAGGTCCAGAAACTGAATTCTAAGGGCGGAGCTGCGGCACAGATGGATGCCCCCATCTCTCAGTTCTGTAAGTAAACATACCAGTAAAGCATTTCAACACAATGTCAGTCAGGACAAAAATTAATTGAAGCTGAGATGGCGAGTAAATTAAATACATAGCAAGGGTTGTTAATATAATATATGCCCCACAACCACTCACATAAAGTGACAGTGTTCACCGTGACAACACGTCATTTCGGTCCAAAGTGCAGTAGATAGCACAGCCTAATAGTGAATAAATTAATTCAGGTTGTTTTCAGGTTGAATTAGTAACACAATATGTCATAGTAATGTTACCTTGCACTCTCAGCATACTGCACAAGTAGCAGGAAAAGGTAAGATCGAGTGTGTAGAGTGGGAAAATGTGTTTATTTTAATGTCCATGTCTTTGTTACTGCCCTTATGCACTCCTGATTAGTTTTAGTATCCATGTGTAAGGCTTTTCAGCTAATATAAAATAGCTTAAATAATTTAAAGTGGTCAACCAATACCAGCTTCTATCTATAAAGGTATAGTTAACCCAAAAATGATCATTATGACATATTTTACTCACTCTCATGTTGTTTCAAAACCATACGACTTACTCTCTTCTGTAGAACACATACATTTTGCATTTATATTTCTTCAGAAGACTTAATTAATGATATTATGGAAGCTTGAACCCTGTCCATTGTTCATTTGCATGCAATTTCATGTTGTGTCCTTTTGTGTTCCACAGAAGAAAGTAAGTTCTGGGGGGTTGGAATGACACGAGAATCAGTAAATAATTACAGAATTTTCATTTTTGAGTGAACTGTCCCTTTAAAACTGTTATTGGCACCTTTTATTAAAATAAGATTCTGCTAAACGTTCTCACCAACAATTTAAACACCTGTTAAAGTTTAAAAAAAATAGTACTTCACATTAATATCAAATCACTTTGAAGCATCAAAATAATAATAGATCCTGCTATTCAGAACCTTGTCTTTTGGTGTGCATCTACTTCAGCATCTGTCCATAGCAATGTCTTATATCACAAAATGTGTCTTAAGGGAATTGATACACTGTTCAAATAAGTTTTCAATTAAATATAGCTCATGTTTTAACCACATATACAAAATCTAAAGGTAGAGGTTCTGTGTTGTTTTTCCATTGATTTATTTGTCCTGTTTGTGAATGTTTCTTGTGGTCAGATGATTCCCTCACAAGTTCAGATGCCATTCAATTTTCTCACTATAAGACAGACCCTCTCCCTTCTGAAACATTATTACACTGTGCAAATGTTTCACCCTCCACCTTAACACACCCCAGGTGGTCTTGAATGGCACAGAATAGTGGAATATAAAACATGCAATACACCCATGAGCAATCATCTCTTTGCTGCAGAATGTTTTTGCAGATTCTAGAATACTATGAAGGTTCTGATAACAGCATTTTATATATTAAATATACATGATTTACTCTGATTGATTACAAAGTATGATAATAACCTACAATGATTAAGTTAATATTTAAAGGGTAGTGCAATCCCTGAGTATTTCTGTTTGGGTAACACTTTACTATATAGCTCACTTTGGAAACATTAGTTTTCATGGTTATTAATCTAGGATATTGTTAATATATAAATACATGGTAATATACAAATAATTAATGTTCATTCATAATACATTACTAATGTTAATTTACACAACCGTTAAAATGTATTTGTATATGTAGACATTAATCTATAGATAAATACACTGAAAATGTTATTTCATGTTAGCTATTTTAAACATAAAGAGCTTTATGGCAAAGTGTTACCAATGTTTTTGTACTTTGAAAGCTGTGATATTCTGAGGTAGGCTGACAACCTGAATTATTTTTATGGCTTACAATTTGAACTTTAAATGGTTACTGGATTTATTCTCTGAGCAGTGTTTTGTTTTTGCTCACTTGTTTATTGGATGCAGTACCTTCATAGAATCAATTTAGAAGCTGATACTGGCATCAAATACACATTTGACCAGCATTCAAATATATGTGTGAAGGTAAGTGTATTTGCCAGTACAGTGTTAGTAAATGGTTAGTAAATGTTCCAGTGATTTAGATTGTACCAGTGTTTGGCAATCCAGTGCAACTGTGAGAATCCTGTCAAAATCAGCTGCAGCAGAGCACAACGTAATACACCAAAATATAGTCTCTTTCTTTTTCTTTCTTTCTCTTTCTTTTTCTTTCTTTCTTTCTTTCTTTCTTTCTTTCTTTCTTTCTTTCTTTCTTTCTTTCTTTCTTTCTTTCTTTCTTTCACTACTCAATCTGACCACCCACCAGTTCAAACTGCACTATCTTGTTGAATACAGGTCGTTGTATTTTACGTTGTGTTTTTTCTTCGTTCATGCTTTGCTTGTACCCTTCTTTAGTCCTGCAGCTGTAGTGGAGTCAGGGTTTTCGTGTCTGCTTTTTCCTTCAGCCTTGTTGCTAGTCTTTATGTTATTCTGGTTTGTCCCTTCTTACCCTGCTGTCTTCTAGCTGGACTCAAGGGTAAGTGCTAACCTGTTAGCTAGCACCAGTCAGATAATCCTAAAACCATTATCTGACCAATGCAACGTGCTCTCTTTATCCTTTTTCTCTTGTTCTTTTTCTCCTCCTCTCAAATCTCACTCCTCATGCCTTAGACCAAAGTAGATTATTTTACTTTTGCGTTGAACTTTTTTGATGATGGCTAAAACTACAAACTTTCATTATTCTTGCCAGTTTAGGTTGCATGTAAATTAGTGCGTTTGTACTTATCATTTAGCTAAGTTAATATGGTTTATGATTTATTTGCATAATTGCCTTCTCTACATAAACATCATTGGCATCACAAGACCCCTCAGAGTAAAGTGGAAGAGGGTTTGTCTTGTTTTATTGGTTATCGACTATTTGGTGGCATTTAATTTGAAAAATAATCCAAAAATGTGATTGCTAATCTTTTGAGTCAATTCTGAGAATTTTAGAGTTGATTTTGCAACCTAATTGACAGTCTTTGCATTCAGGATGAGTAACTAATCCAAATTTAGCATTTTGACAATCAGTTCTGTCTACGGTAACTGCAACAGTGAAGTATTGTACATTTTTGACTGCTTGGACTTTACTCTTGAGGGTTCACTTGCCTTTCAACTAATTTCTTTATTTTTTAACTTGAGCTTCACAAGAGTTGGCAAATATGTAAGTGGAGTATTCTGAATGCCAATGTGAAGGAGCAGGCACTGCCATCCCTCCTCACCGAGAAATACTCCTAATTATCTTTCGTCCGGTGGAAATGGGCCTCTTAGAAGTAGTCCCTAAACCCAATGTAGAACTTAGCAAAGATATAGTTCATTATTTGCATCTGTGTGATTGCCCTTTTACTGCTTGAGTAGGTGAGCATTTTGATGTCATGTTATCCATTCAGATGCTGATGGAAAGACAAGTTCATTTTCTTCCTTTTCTGATTATCCTCCATTATTTACAGAGAATGAATTCATTACTTTGTAGCCTCTGTTGGCTTCCTGCCAAAGCCGTGAACCTGCACTAGAACCGTAATGCTAGCCTGTTGGCACGCCACTGAAGTGGCTTGCTTGTCAGTGTGCTCAGCAACCCTTATGAACACACTGAAAATTTCTCCAGTATTGTCAACTTGCAAATGCTAAGAGAAAAATACAGAATGCTAATGGATAGGCAAGCGGAAAATGTTACTGCAATTTTTTTTTCTTCCTCTTTCCTTTTCTTGCATGACAATGGAAAGCACAGTGGAGTGTCTCACTGTGTTCCTGCATGTAAAAGACATCCATTTTCAATGAAATATCATATACAACCATTAAAAATGGTTTTTATAGTAGTAAAATAATATTAATAATGCTTCCTAGCTTATTAGCATCCCCATAAGTCCTAGTCTTATTTGAATGCAGCACAACGGTTTGTGCATAAGCCGATTCAAAACTGTGTGGAATGTAGAAGTACATTATTTTAATTAATGTATAATTATGAAATGTAAAAATGCAAATGAATTAGGCTAATAAATCCTTAAATCCCATAGGTTTACCCTGTAATTAGCACATCTTTTCTTATTTCTTCCCTACAGTTCCATGGTTCATATAACTCATAAAGTCTGTTATATATTTTTACACTTCCTTTTTCTCATTTCTTTATCATCCTGAGTAGCTTAGTTATAGGGCTTCTTTGCCATTCTTTCTGATGTTTATCTTTTCTCAACTCATTCAGTTTGTCCGTTGTCTATCCTCTATCTCATTTCCTCAGTGAGTTCTTCATTCCTACAATCCCGTGTCTTTTCCTGTGCCTCTATTCTTTCTTTTTTGTCTTCTCTTTTAGTTTAGTCTACGTCTTTATAATTGTAGCAATGCTTTACTCAGCCAAAGGATAACATAACTTGATCCAAGTTCCTCTAATTAAGCAGATCCGGATAGTATTTATTTGTCCTCCACTAGATTAAGCACTTTATTTTTAGCCATATGTCTTCACAAAAAAAGGTGTGAGATCATTGTTGTTATCTAGACACACGCCCTAATCATTGGTGTAACACGATGCACATTCTTTCTTCACATTTTCTCTCATTAGAGCACGCTCATCACTGCACAGATTTAGATTCTATCATTCTGTTGCTAATAAAGTAATTCATCAAGGGGCCAGTTTTTTAGGAATAACTTTTCTTGTACTACTTTCTCCAACAAATATATGCGCATAGGACTTTAGAAAATTGCATAGACTATTTAGTTGATTTTGATTCCATTTAGCATATAACACTGAGCATATTAAAAAGCCCATGAAATTGCTTTGTGACTTTTATGTCCTTTCTATTAGCATACACTACTGTTCAAAAGTTTGGGGTCAGTAGTTTTTTTTTATACTTTTGATGCATTAAATTGATCAGAAGTGATAGTAACGACATTTTAACATTACAGAAGATTACTATTTTATTCTTTCTTCACATTTTCTCTCATTAGAGCACGCTCATCACTGCACAGATTTAGATTCTATCATTCTGTTGCTAATAAAGTAATTCATCAAGGGGCCAGTTTTTTAGGAATAACTTTTCTTGTACTACTTTCTCCAACAAATATATGCGCATAGGACTTTAGAAAATTGCATAGACTATTTAGTTGATTTTGATTCCATTTAGCATATAACACTGAGCATATTAAAAAGCCCATGAAATTGCTTTGTGACTTTTATGTCCTTTCTATTAGCATACACTACTGTTCAAAAGTTTGGGGTCAGTAGTTTTTTTTTTATACTTTTGATGCATTAAATTGATCAGAAGTGATAGTAACGGCATTTTAACATTACAGAAGATTACTATTTTAAATAAATTCTGTTGTTTTTAACTTTCTATTCATCAAAGAAACCTTGAAAAAAATGTATCACAGTTTCTTCAAAAATATTAAGCAACACTTGAGCAGCAAATCAGAATATCAGAATGATTTCTGAAGTATCATGTGACACTGAAGACTGGTGTAATGATGCTGAAAATTCTGCTTCGCCATGACAGGAATAAACTACATTTAAAATACATTAAACTGTACTATGTTCTGTACTCCACATATTTCTGTCTAATCAAATCTTTAGAATGAAAAAGAAAACTGTGCTTGCCAAGCCATTTCATGGGTCTTTCAGTATCATCTTAAAGATAACTTTTGAGTATACTTCGAGACTTAGTCGTTTTAGATGCGCTATTAATTACAGTAGAAACTTCCATGTTAGTTAATTCAATCAAAATAGGCTAACATATGCCCCTGATTTCTTTTTTTGCCATTAGTATTTTTACGAGCACACAATCCATCTTCTCTTTCGAAATGAGTGACATTAACCAATTGCGAATGGCAGAATCTATTGTATTCATGAGAAAGAAAATACATGAAAATGTATCATTTGGAATTGCGCCACTTCCTCAATGCCATCGGTGGCTTTTACGTTGAAAAGCTTTTGATTGAGAGAACAGGAAGAGACCACGCCCAGATCAGCTCATGCATGCACGTCCAGACTGAATGTGAGCTGAGGGTTATCACTCAGTTCCACATTTGCTAGGTCCGATTGAATTCTGCTTGACTTTTGCTGCAAGTTGACAATGTGAAAGCTCAATGTCTTTGATTTGCCATAGAGTACTCATTCTAGGTGTTTAGTTTTGTGGTGGGAGGAGAACAAATCATTCTTCTTGCTGTTTGCTAATTTCCTCTTTCTTGAACCCACCCCCTCTCCCTTCCTCTCCCATGAATGGCTGGAATAGATGCTGACAGGGCACAGAAGCACGGCATGGATGAGTTTATCTCAGCTAACCCATGTAGCTTTGATCATGCCTTATTGTTCAAGATGGTGCAGAGGCTCACGTTGGACCACAGGCTAAATGACAACTTTGCATGTCTGGTAAGTATTTTTTTTAGCTGAATTCAATGCAAAACAACTGTATACATAATTTCCAAACTGTCTACCCATTTGCTGGAAATGCAGGGATGGTTTAGCCCGGGTCAGGTGTTTGTTCTGGATGAATATTGCGCTCGGAATGGGGTGAGAGGATGCCACAGACATCTGTATTATCTTGGTGACCTTCTGGAGAGGGCAGATGCTGGGCACATGATCGACCCGACGCTGCTGCACTACAGCTTCGCGTTTTGTGCCTCGCATGTTCATGGCAACAGGTACAGGCCTGCATACGGATGCACCGCATTACTTGGATGTTAGATGTTGGGAGAGATACAGATCATGGAAGCAGGAACGAGGGTGGAGAACCAAGGGCTCTTTGCAAGTCATCAGCATATTTTTGCACTTTTGCTTTAGCATTTATTATATTTTTTCCCTGTGAATGTTCTTTATAATTTTGCTTGATGTGTTGTGTCTTTTGTTCTCAATCATTTTTTCATTTCTTTTCCACTTTCCAAACCTCAGCAGTATTCTTTCAGCCACTACACTTTCCATTCTCCTTTTTTTGTTATTTTACTTTCCAAATCTCATTGTGTTGCTCATTCATTACATGTTCCTGATAGTCAGAGGGGGTCTGAGTTACAGGGGGCTGGCTCAAAGTCAGGAGGGAAAAAGGAGTCTAAAAAAAAGAGGAAATGTAAAACACAGCTGACCCCTGAAAGCACAAGGTAAGAGGGCTTGTCAAGGATATAAACATATCAACAGCATCATATTCCACACTGTACAGTAGCAGTAAATGTACTGTATCTCACACAGAGTGAAATGGGTTAAACAGCTTAGCTTGTCTAATTTTTTTACCCAAAAAAGAAAAATAATTATTCATTAACTTGTTTCAAAGTCAAGTGACAAAGCATTTTTTAAATATCCAGCCTTTTCCTTCACCCCATGATGCTTTGCACAAATTATGCGAGTAACATTCGTTAAACTATGACCAATCAGTCAAAGGTTTGCTCTATGACCACAATAATACACATTTTCAAAAACTGGGTACAATGAAGTTACTGTACATTATTCTACTTGCCCTTCAACCAATAAACATAAAATGTGAATTTAAAAGTGTGAAAGCATTAATAAATTACTTTCAACAGACCATGAATAGCCCCAAAAGCTTGATTATTTCCACAGCAATATTACAGGCAGATTCATTGCATTAATCAAAAATGTTAATTAACTGGAACATATAATTGATAGTGATTCAAATTGATTTCCGTCATTTTGACAGATAACAAATATTGTATTTACGTCCTTTAAAAGCGTTCAACTTAAAACAGCTAATAGGAATTAAAAGTGAAAAGGAAAGACAATTATATTTTAAAGCATCTGTGTGGGAAAAAAATTACAGGGAAATAGACGTGAGGATTTGGGGAGAAAAACAAGAGATTCTCAGTTAAAACCAGTGAATTATTCACATGATGTATTGTAAATTAAATTGGGAGAGCTGGCCACAGATTCACAGTATATGTTGTCTTTTTTCATTCTGTTAGAGTAGAATAGAAAGGAAAAATAAAAATAGTCAGGAAGAAAAGAATGCAGTGGACTAATGAGAGCTCTTGCCATAGATATTCTTGTTGTACCATGTCACATTAAAACACCAAACATTGCATTATTCTCCTGATGTTTGAAAATAGAGCATGAAGAAAAATTAATCAATCAGTCAAACTGACAGATAAGGATTATTTGTAGCACAAACTTATGATTTGACATGATTTATTTGAGTCTTTTTAAGTGGAACCTTCTAAATGCTGCATAAACTCCAACAAAAAATAACTAAATATCTTATGTTTTTGGGTGAACTAGTCCTTTAAAGTCAGCATGATATTGCATGATATATTTCCTCTCACAATAAGACCAAGATCCAGTATGGAAATAAGTAGGATAATTTTGTAATTCATTGAATTCAAGCCTGTATTCACTTGTATGGCATGTTTAGTTTAGGTTTCTCTTCCCACTGACTTGTTGAAAGTATATTTATTATTGTGCTGCAGCTGAGTGTGTATTAAATATATTTTAATGCAATATAATGCCCAAGTGGAGTATTGTAACATCGATAGCTGTAAATAAAAAAATGGGTTGGAAACAATGCGCCCCAAGAGTATCACAACAGGGTCCCATCTGCTGGGTACAAATACATTTATAGCCAGTGTATTAGATTTAAGAAAGCCAGACATTGCTTCTGGTTAGATGTTCTTTCTGGACTCAGTGTGCCAGGCCTGTATTTTATTGGTACAAGTGTGATGTACTGCATACTGAAATGTTAATGTGGTTTGATTAGCTTTCACTGAAAATATACAGGACTTTAAAAAGCAATTATATAGTATCATAATTAGTTGTTGTAATAATAAATACACCAGTTCAAGAGTTTCTTTTGATTTGTATCACTTTCCTCTTGACTCAAAATTGATCTTTCTTCCTAATCAATTTGCAAATAATGGCATGTTTTGCTTGTAAAACAGGCCTGATGGTCTTGGAACAGTAACGGTGGAGGAAAAAGAACGCTTTGAGGAAATCAAAGAGCGATTACGTGTCCTTCTGGAGAATCAGATCACAAACTTTAGGTGAGTATGTAGACGTAAGACTTTAATTGAACATTTCACAAGCAGAAAGACTATGTACATCAGCAGTTCTTTTGATTTTATATAGGACATTGAGTGGCAATCGAACACCTCATTAAAATGTTTAGTCTACAGAACTAGACAAAAATGTCCTTTAAAATCATACAGTAAAAAGAATATATCACCATGGACTGCATAGGCCCAACTATGTGCAAATTATTAGGCCGAGTAGGGAAACCGACGGTTTTGTAAATGCATAAACAACAGAAGAGGTGATTTATCAGCTTAATGCATGGAACAAATGCTGAGCCAAATATTATATTAGGCTGAATATGAGGAGTGCACAGCCATTATGTGCATAAACATATCAATGTGATTTCACCAACAGAGCTCAAATTATAGCCTGTGCAAATCAAACAAGACACTTAGATGTGTTTTCATTTTGCTCAGTGTGTCTTTTACCTTGTACGGTTTTGTTTGTGGTTTTCATTTGGAGAAAAATACTGAAGATTTTGAATTTACTGACGTCAGCCATAAAAGATATGAGAAGCATTTTCTCTTTTCTTTAAAGGGGTTGCAATTTAGCAACATTGTATTTTTCACATTTAGCATTGTGTTTTTTTCCTTGCTGTCCATAACCCGTTTTTTCGACCGACCAGTTGGGAACCGATTTTAAATTAGAATTTAATTAAATTAGAAAGGATAAGTGTCTGTGGCCTGTTAAAAAATACTAACATTTGTTTCCCGGGGATTAATTTTACATGCCCAAAAAGCAGCAAACAACAGAACATGAGGATTCACATGGTCATCATATCACATCACGCACCTGCAGCGCTTCTGCGAGCGGAGAAAACATAAAGCTAGGCTATATATATATATCTCTCTCTCATACTAATGACAGTGACGTAACTTTATCATATATCTGTAACAATGGTCAAAATCCAGACAGGCATAAACTCAGACTGAAATGAGAAATACAGCAAGTGTACCAGAGGAAATGCAATCTAATAGGTCCCTCTTGTGGTAGAAGAGTAATAATGAAAATGAAAACGGTAGACCAGGGCGAATTGTCACAGCTTGGTTATAAAGGTAACACTTCATTTTTATAGTCCTTTTTATACATTCTAACTTTGCAACTATGTCATCGATCAGTCATTATTGTAGACTGTCTGCTTAATAGCTTCTTACATTTTTTAGACATTTTACTGACTATGAGATAGCCTAAGTAACTTTTCAAGTACGTCAGTTTATTCTACTAACCATAACCCTAACCTACGGATAATCTAATCACAATTAGTTGACATGCAGTTGCAAAGTTGCTTATGGCTAGTAGACTATCTAAAGTGGACTATCAATATAAAGTGTAAACGTATTAGATAATAATATTATAATAAATTATTGCAATATTATTTATATTAATTGTATTACAGTATTGCAGGTAATCGTATTACCTGTAATTGCAGGTAATACTAAAATATTCACAGGGAATAATAATAATAATAATAATATCACAACAAATTATCATCAATTTATATATATATATATATATATATATATATATATATATATATATATTAGGGCTGTCAGTTAAACACATTAACTTAATTAATTAGTTATGAAAAATAACGCGATTAAAATATTTTAAGGCGGTTAACGCACTGGCCCCGCCCCCAGACCTGTACGTCATCTTACAGTTCATACAGTTGACTGTTGACAAATATGAAGCAGAGCAACAACTCCATAAACGAAGTTATGCTCTAAAATTCAAGGTATTGGGGCAAAAAATACCCCAGTATGAGCAGTAGGCTATCACAGGAGTGCTGATTTTGTCCCGAATATCACAAGATTAAATGTGATTTTATACAACAGTTCAGTAAATAAGAAGTTAATATTTAAATTTTATTTTAAATTAATATTGTGTTATATTTTAAATACAATATTGTGTGTTTTTGTTCAATTTTGCCAACGAATATATTACCTATAGCCTAAAGCCACAGCAGAAGTGTTGTGTGTCTCCGAGCAACACAGCGGTGATTCAATTCTGAATTAATTAGATTAATTAATCGCAGCACCCTGTGATTAATTAGATTACACATTTTAATCGACTGACAGCCCTAATATATATATATAACAAATAAATAGGTATATACACTTAAATAATAAATAAAGAAAATGAAAGAAAAACTGCAACAAGCCTAGTAGGCCTACGCAGAGTTTCGGTTCATTTTTGTGCTGCGCGAAAGGAAACAGACGGCAGAAAAAAGGTAAAGGCAAACCCTTTACAATTCCGCTTATCGTTAGGACTAAAAGGAGTAGTTTCTTCCACTGTTAGAAGGAAAAAATTCAAGTGATTGCGCCAGTGCGCACACAGTTAAGCATTGCTACCTTGACAATGCAGCCTGTTCATTATCATAATAAAATACAGTCAGTCAAACAAATGGGGGAAAAAAATTTAGTAAAAAATATGTAGTAAAATCTGTGCCATTAAAGTGTTATCACAGTACCGCCGTGATGTTATGCAAAACATTTTGTTTTACGTGGATATGTAAACATGTAAACATTTCGTGTCGGCATTAGGCCTAGGCTATTTCTGAATGAAATAATAAAATGCTAACGTTACTTATGTTATGCAATTTATGTTTTTCCCCCCTAAAAATATTTTTTTTATACGCATAGCGTATTTTAACCATGCACCAAACCTTTTTATTTTTATATAAATTACTGAAAAGAAAAATAATGAAATTGTTTAACTGATTGTAGTAATCGGTCAAAATTCTTACGGTCGGTTAACTGGTTAAACGGTTAAAATGAACATCCCTAGAATGAATACCCTCTAGCCTACTTCATCAAATCGTTGGTTCTGTTGCTTATTTCGAACAGAGTGACAAACCACAAATGGCTGACAATCTTTTAGAACACAGTATCAAGGTCTTGGATGCTTGTTCCCTCATGAAATTGGTGCAGTGTCCTTAAAACAACAGCTCACCCAAATATGATTCTGTCATCAATTACTCAGATTTGTTGCTTGAAATGCATATTGTTTTCTTTTCTTTAGTGGAACACAAAGAAGATATTTTCCTGACTGTCTAAGCAGCTGTTTTTTCCATTCAACAAAAGTGTCTGGTTGCTCTGAAAAGGTTTGAAAAGTACAAAAACACAGTAAAAGTAGCATTCAAATCAGTCGATTCAATGTCAATAAAATCCACTGAAGAAAGAAAATTATTGTATGTGTTTCAAATAACAGAATTTAAATTTTTGTGTGAACAATACACTACTGTTCAGGGCTGCGTTTCCCGATAACGGTGTCTCTTAGCGCGCTACGAAGACTCTAAAGATACACCTTAACGAGGGGTATACCTTTCCTAGGTGTGTTCCCCGAACTATACCTTTTCGGATGTTGCTTAAGGTAAACCTTCTTACGTGCGACGTTAGCAGGTGCTGTCCATGGCGGTGGTGCTGAATAGGTTGATATCGATGGCTCGAGAATCGATTGTTCACTATATACAAGAGCTTTTTCACTGCGTTATAGAGCGGGTAAAGTATTGAGAAAGCGATGTTCATTATAAAGAAGCACTTTAGAAATATTAGAATTTGCTCCCGTGGCAGGCGACATTTTTGTAGAATTGTATCTTTTGACATGGCAGCTATTATGACACTATAATGAAATAGTGCACATACACTAACTGGCTCCGCGGACGCAGCCGCCTTTGATTTAGGACAACTATTCGCTGTCTCGCTGCCATAGTTTGACCAAACTCACCACCATATTAATTTACTTTGAATAGACTCCTAACTATGTGCTGCCTAATGGTTTGCCAGCCGATGTGCCTTTGTATATTATAATGGAAAAACGAAAAACCATCAGCATAATGACAGTTTTATTCTTTGCATAAAAACATTTCAATTTATTGAACACTAATTGAACACTGGGTGTGGCCACTAGCGGAGTGAACTGTGAACAGAGATAAGGTATAGCTAAGAGTGGTCCAGACTAACCTTACGAACGAATGACTTACAGAAGGTATACATAACTAAGAACGTTTCGGGAAACACGTATTAACGTAAAGGTACAACTTAAGGTATAACTTATGAACGACGTAGCGTTAAGAAGGTTTCGGGAAACGCAGCCCAGAACTCTGGGGTCAGTATGATTTAACTTTTTTTAGGACTCTTATCAAGGCTGCATTTATTTGATTAAAATGCAGTAAAAACAGTAATATTGTGAAATGTCATTACAATTTAAAATAACTCTATTTTAATATATTTTAAAATGTATTTATTCAGTAATAATAAAATAAAATGTATTTAGTAAATTTATTCCTGTAATGGTAAAGCTGAATTTTCAGCAGCCATATTATGTCAGACTTCTGTGTCACATGATCCTTCAGAAATCATTTTAATAAGCTGATTTGGATATTATTGTTGAAAATAATATTTTTATAGAGGTTCGAAAGAACTGTTTTTTTGAAAAAAGAAAAGAAAACACCTGACACTTTTGATCAATTTAATGCATCCTTGCTAAATAAAAGCATGAATTTCTTAAAAAAAAAAAAAAAAAAAAAAACTTACTGGCCCCAAACGTTTGAACAGTAGTGAACATTTAAAAGTTTTCCACTTCCACTTTGTTTCTAATTTTTACTGTCTCTAAGTGAGAATTTAAGGGTGATTGTGGTTTAAGGGTTTTAACCATCAAATCATGTTGTATTGTCCAAACTTTTCCAAAAACTGATTTCTTGATGAGAACTTCCCTTAACACAAGACATCCCTTCACCATATTCAACCCTTGACCCCCTTTCCTCTGACCCCAAACTCTTGCATGCCGGAATCCTCTTTTTCTTTAGGAAAAAAGAGGGAAATGTATGATCATCCTATCTACTCCTTGGCTACACAAGTGATGGATTTAACCATCCGTGAGTAACAACTCCTCAACCCTCATTCTTTACCTCTCATTCATCAACTCAATCCTCCATGTCACATCCTTTTCGGAACTTTTCTGTTTTGCCATTTTCACACAGACGACAGACACTGAGTAGAGAACGATACGTAACGTTCCGTTTCTAATTCCTTTGGCAGAGATTTCCATCTGTTTGTAATACGACATGACTGATGCATCCGTTCAGCTTCCTCTTGTTCGTTTTTGGTTGAAGCTCATGTTTGTGACTTGAATGCATTTTTACTTTGCTCGCTATTTTACTTTGTCTGAGTGTATATCGTTACTGTGGTGTGGTAGGTGGTTTCACTGGGGGATTCCAGACACATCAACAGGTGACTGAGCTTCCGGGAGAGCAGGATTTAGCACACGTGTATGAGCTATGACTTATGTGTTCCAACATCACAAGTTTGTCTTGTTCGTGATTACTACAAACTGTGTTTGATTTGTCTCTTTGTTCAGTATGTCATTCAGTTGCTGCTTTGCTGTGTTTTTGTTCTTGTCGTTCCAGGTAAATATCCACATGTGTTTGTTTGCCATTGTTTTTCTATTATTCTATATCAAATACACAATAATTCTCTGGAGAGCGACCAAGAGTGAAATTACCAGGGATGCTGCACCAACTTTGGGCTAAAACATGCCACCTTGAGGAATAATTATTTTTCCTCCCCCAATTCTCCCTTCTCTTTCTCCCTTATTCCTCCCTCTCCTTATGTTGCTCTGATTCTCTATTTCTCTCTCTCTCTCTCTCTCTCTCTCTCTCTCAAGTTGAGAAAACTCTAAAGGATCAGAAGGATCCAGGTGAAGCTATGTTTGACGTCATCCCCTGTCCCCTTCAACACATCCTGGCACATGAACATGACACAATTACAAGGAAAATGTGTTTAGTCTGAAAGTCCTGTACACACCACGACACAAGGATCTCCCTTGTGCGATACTTTATTTGTGTGAAGATAGTATTCTTCTATAAAAATATACACAAAATTTGGGTAAAAACTTATTTTGTGTTATATTATGACTTTAGAAATAGAAACGGAACATCTTAGCACTGAACAGTCTGCCTAATGGTGCTACATTATGCAGACTTACAAGAAGTAATACTGTCTTTCACAAATATTTCAGTGGCAGTCTTTTCAGTGTGTTAAAATGTGAGGGTAGAATTATTGCAAATGTTTCTCGCTGAAGTACTGGGAATAAGATTGTAACTGAAGAATATCTGAATCCAGAAATCCATAGATTTTCTAATCAAGTAGTTCTCAACTGGTTTTGCTGCAGACCTGCAAACTTTTTTTGTGTCACAACCCACCAGTTGAGAACCACTTCTCTAAATCTTCATTATTTTAACAGATGTTTTGCTGCTTTAATTCCCAGTGCTGGTCTTAGAAACTTGACATGACCAGAACATTTTATACACATTGAAAATAGATAAAGTATGAAATTTGGATAATGATAATCTTAGATTGTCATTAAATCCATTGTCATTACTTTATCATGTTGTGTTGATGACATCATGGCCTTAGGAAGAGTAAGAATGAGTTTCTATCAGATATTAATGGTTCCCAGTGTAGTACATTTCAGTACAGTGCCCCACAACCCCATTAATAACCCATGAATTTAACAGACCGATAAACCAATGGCATAAAAGTGAACATTACACACTCTAGACACCTAGATTTAAGAGTCAGACTAAATGATAAATAAGTAATGTCCTTCATGACTGAAGTAGCATTTCAGTCAATAAATTAAAGATTTTCTTTTCTCCTTTAGTGGAGACCTCAGCATTGCTGAGTTGGTCGGTATTTTATTTTATTTCTTTAGCTGTTTTTTTGTTTTCTGTCTTTTCATCTTGTTCAGACAAAAGTTGATTACGTGTTAAACCAGAAACACTATTGTGTGTCCGGATGTCCTCATTTCATCAAAGTGTTGCATATGTCTGACAATCTGGTCTGCTTTTTCTCTCATGTGTTGGCCTTAAATTCTAGACAGTATTGAGAAGTTCTACAAATTATTAGTAATTTACCTAGATAAATAAAAATGCAGTATTAGTATAAAGGTTTTTACAGTGGGGTCCAAACGTCTGTGTCCACATTAAACATCTAGAAAGAAATTTTAGGCTTTAGGAAAAGTTATGATGTAAATATGTCATTGTAAAGATTCTGCATTTCTTCTTCTTAGCGTACATTGATGCACAAGGTACTCTTTGAAACATTTGCAAATCATGCTGGAGAACATGATTATGAGGTTTTTTACAAGTAGTGGAGTTCATGCAGCTCAAACTGCAGGGAAAAAAGAGAAACCAAAATACTATGAAAATGTGTTAATTTTTTATTTACCTCAACTATTATGCTGATAGTTTGTAATCACAAAATATATACTGTATCAATTATGAAAAAAGCAAAACTACTTGTGGTCTCAGACTTTTGAACCCCAATTTAGTTGCAAGCTTCCCAAACTAATTATTTTTTTTTTTACCTCAGAGTTTACCAAAAAAAGTCCATTATTTTCTCTGACATCAGTTAGGCATCTTTTCTTGAAGTGTTATGAGTGTCATCAACAGTGTTGTCATTTCTGCATGCTCAGTTAGGTATTTATGACCTTAGCTTCTTCAGACTGCATTGTAGTGCTCATGACATCAGAGATTCATAGAATAAATATATTAATCAACCACTGTAATATTAACCGTCCCTCTTCTTCCCACCATTCTGCACCAGAGAATGTAGCTAACCTAGCTACGCCTGCTAAAAAACTGGAGCATGTCATCCGCCTGGCAGAGTTAGTCATTGAGGTTCTACATCAGAACCAGGACCATCACGCCGAGGTGAGTCTGGACTGTTTCTCTCTCTTTCCCCCACATTCACTCTCTTTTTTCTTTAGTACAAAATAGGGCTGATTTAAATGGCCGGTGGCTCCTCTCTGATAATAAAGAAGGCAGCTTTGCAGTTTGCACAATGCAATTTGTATTAGTGGAAATTAGTGAAACAGCAAGAGTTCACTCTCCCGTGAGATCCAGGTCTCTAAACCACTTTCCCTGGATCTATACTCCAAAGAAAGCCCCAGAATACAGATTGTTTCTGTGTTCTGAATGTTAGACAGATTCCTTTGGAATGGCTAATACTAAACAGAACTGAAGATGCATTATGAATAGAGAGCCAAGCATGGTTTTCAGCTGTAATTATGATAATTGGCATGTTTCAGCATTTACTACTCCAGGAACAAATGCATAATTGGCTTTATTCCAAGATGCAATTTAAAGTATTAGGTAATCCATGGTCTTCCTGAGATTTACAGATTTACTGTATCTTTCTGAATATGCTTAACAGGCTGCGGTCACAAGTACAGGAGACCAGTCGGTACAGTATCATGTTTCTTTTTTTCCTAAGTTGTCATCACATAGTGTAACTTTTCCCTCAAGCATGTCGATTCACGCAGTTAAGGGCTTTTCTGTTTTTGTATGGGTGGAATGGGGCAAGACGTTGCTTAAAGAACATGGTGAAATTGAGATAAAGAGTTGGTCTCTTGGATTTCTGGAAAATTCTTAAATATCTCCCTCCTCACACACTGATTTACAAATGAGCTAAATATTTTAGTTTTAGCGCCAAGACATTATGGTAGAACCATCTGTAGATCATACTGTTACTTTGTAAAACTACAATGCTTCACTGCCCAATGTTATAATATAGAAAGCCATTTTAACCAAACATAATTGCAACTTTATATCTTCCATTTGAATTAAATCTCGCAATTGTTACTTTTTATCCAAACGTTTTGGGAAAATTTTTTTATAATCAACATTTTGTGCACACATTAACACTTTGCACATACATCACTCTCTACGTGTTCATGTTTTTCCTCACCATTCACTCCATGGTGATGTTGCAGGGAAAAGAGGTATGTGGTCAAAATGAATGCAGTGAAAAAGCCCCTTACTGGCTTGTGCATGAGCTATAAAGGGTTCCCTTCCCCTGTAATGTCCCATTCCTCACAACGTGAGGGAATGTTTTGCCGCATCTGACATGGGTTCGTCTTAATTCCTCAGCATTGTGCCTGTCAAGTCTACCTTCAAACTTGTAAGGCTTGTGTCCCCGACTAGCCAGGTCAATGCTCAATGATTCCTTTGCTTCCAGGGGAATGTTTACATTTACCCACCCACCACGCTAGTTGTGTCACCCTAACTTTTCCCAATTAGATGTGTTCCCTTCTGCTAGTGTACATGGACTTCACAATTCCTCAAAATGACCAAACCAATGTCATAACATTGCCCTCTTCCCAGGGCTACTCTTGCTGATTTTAATTTACAGTATGATTTTTGTATTTATTCAAGAAGGGTGTTAATGTTAACACCTACCCAGTGCTCATAGATTAGCAAGAAGGGCCTTGGGGAAGGATTCATGGGTTGCTTGGATTTGGCATCTCTTATCGCTCTCTACCCCACTTTCTACTTGTCTGTCTGGTTAAGCTCAGCCATATGCATTGCCCTGTTACACTAGCAGATGCTATATTTGTTGGACCCAACGTTATGACAAATGTAGCTTTTCAAGTGTTATGAAGCCTGCAGGTAAGTTCTATGGTAAGTCTGGTCTTAGAGCTTGCTATCCCTATGTAGCAGAATGGATTTTGGGGGAAATGTTTTGGGGCTCTTTGAAGCTGTGGGTTTAGAGGGATAAAAAAGGACAGAGCATGCAACCAAAGGGAAGGATTAAGCCTCTTAAAAAGGCTGATCAGTTCCTTGAATGGGTTTATCACTGGTCAGTTGTTTTAATTAGAAGAAAAGTGTTTTATGCCAAAACTGCAAGCAAGCCTGATTGATCTAAGAAACTCCTGCTCAATACCCCACTACAGGCCCAAATTGTATGGTCACTTTGAGAGATTAAAGAAGAAATATTCAGGCAAACCATATGCATTGCCAAGTAAAGAAGTCTGCTGCTTGCTTGCAGTCTTTGGCGTATCAGGGACGGCAATGTTGCATGATCGCAAGACACATCCCCATCCCGAGGGTAGGGATGCAGTGATGTGAACGGTTGAACTACATCTTCCATTTGGAGGGCAAAAGCATGCAGGGATTTCTACCTCACTTGCATGAGAACTGCACCTCCTCTGGCATCTTGACTCCACTGGGAGTTAAACTGATATGGGAAAAATGACCTCTGGTCACAAATATGCACACATTTGCAACACAAGATTTAAGGTGTATTGTCATTTTTTTATACTTGAATATCAGGCCCTCTTATTAAAGTAGTTTTATTTGTTTTCTCTTATTTGGATTAACATGTTTCTTTCGAGGGCCTCGGAATTCTTAAGATATGCAATCTTTTATAGAAGATTCATAAATTTCTTCTTATGGTAAAATGTTTTTCACAATATTTAGACTTTGTTTTGAAATATTTATATAGTAGAATTTTCTGTGTTGCAAATTTATAAATGGTCTAATGTAAGTTTTAAAGTCCATAATGGTAAACTGATCACCATAACCCTTGTAAACTGGTTACTTGAAAGCCTTATCTATTTACTTAATTAACATAATGACCTCTAACGCTGAAGCTAAATATGAACCATTCAGACCAAAAACTCTTGCTTCTCTTCATTTGAACTCTTACTGATCAAATGAAGAGCCATTACTTTCGAAGCAGATTTACAAAGTGAATGTGTGAAATACCATACGGCAGACACTTAACCAGTTTACAATCTTTTTCATGCCTGAGATTACCCAATACACTTGTGATTTTCTAACTTTCTGCTTCTTTTTTTATTCTTTCTTCCTTTACTGGACTATCAAGGCCTTTGCATGGTGGTCAGACCTGATGGTGGAGCACGCCGAGAACTTCCTGTCACTCTATGGAGTTGATATGGATGCTGCTCTTGAGATCCAGTCTCCCGAGAGCTGGGACAGTTTCCCACTCTTTCAGCTTCTAAACGATTTCCTCCGTACCGACTGTAAGCACGTCTTGCAACATTTGGTTAACAGTTCTGATAGTATTGTCATTTCTCAAAAATGACTGAAATGTGTTATCATTCTAATTAAGTGATTATAACTGAAAAGTTGGGCATGTTACTTTCAAAATTGTCATAGCCTACTATTTTTTTCTGTTTTTACAGATCACCTTTGTAATGGAAAGTTCCACAAACATCTGCAGGACCTGTACGCCCCTCTTGTGGTGCGATATGTGGATCTTATGGAGTCCTCCATCGCTCAGTCCATTCACAGGGGATTTGAGCGGGAGTCATGGGAGCCTGTAAAGTAAGACACCACTTCCTCAACAATGTGTGCGGTGACCGGGAGCCAGGGCCTTTCAGGACAAAAACATCACAAAAAATATCTAAAAAAACAACTCGTATATACGTATATGTGAGATTGCAGGGACAGGCATATCCTCAGCAAAACTATACAGCTAATCAAATGAATCTGTTTAGCATCCAGTTAGATTTCTCAGGTAAAGTCTGAAACAAGTTTGTTTATGCCATTGCGAAAAATTTCATTATTTTAAGTAGAGTGACCTCTTTAACCATGCCTTACGTGAGAAAGCTGCCAAACATCAGAGGAAGTTCACCAAGTCCACAATCTATCAGGATGGACTTCACTCAGTGTCTTGCAGGTTTCCATCTTTTCTTTGTGAACTAACCTTCATAATGTGCACTTTAAACAGAATGCTTTTATGTCCTAATCAATTGTGTCATGCTCAATTTTGGTTTGCATGTTGATTTTAATTATTTCATACCAGTTCCCAGCGAACAGATAACAATATTTCGATAACCTGCTATCTTTAGAAAAGATACAACCTACCCCAATATTCCCGGCCTAACAGAATACTCTTCTGTCAATTAAGTGTATGCCCCTTGAGAATCATATGTCAGTATGGTTTTCCTCATTTGTTTGTTGTTTGTTTGTATGTCTAAAACCCCACCACTGTCCTCAGATCTTTGTTCTTGCTGTGGAAAAATTCTGCTTTTACTTCCTTTTTATATAAGTGTGCTGCTGTTGTCGATATTATTGACCGCACGTTTCTTTCTACTCAGGTCTTCTGTTTAAATGTGCTGTAGATTCCCTCCCTACATTTAATGACCAGTTTTTATGTGTCTGCTCTTTGTGTGAAGATGGTCTTTTCCATTTCTCAGTTTCTCTTTTTTGTACTGTATGTCTTACATTGCTTATTTGCAGCATTCCACACTGCCACTGTTATGGATTTTTTTGTTTCTTTTTTTGTCTGTTTCTGCAGGAGTTTAACAAGTAATCTGCCCAATGTGAATCTACCAAATGTGAACCTCCAAATTCCCAAAGTACCAAATCTTCCCGTGCCAGTAGCAGGACTATCTGTTAACCTTCCACAAATGCCTAGCTTTTCCACTCCGTCCTGGATGGGTGCTATATATGACTCTGAGTGTGTATTCAATGCATTTACCTGAGATCTGATGCATTCAAAAGTCTTCTTGGCATGAAAATGTTTGGGGTTAGTTAACTTACCATTAAGTATCATTGAATTGCAAGATGTTTGCTAAACTTGTCAATAGTTAAAAGACATTTAAATGATGGCTATAGCAGACTTTCCGTGTTCTTTGTATTGAATATAGAATACCTACAGGGCAAGATGACTTGCCTCTAGAATCATTCTCATGTCAAGTAGCCTGCAAAGGGTTCCAGACAGGCTTATGTTATCTGTTATTTGAAATGAGAACTGAAAAGCTCTTCATTTTCCTCAATGTGCATGCCATTGAGGTTAGACTGAGGTGGTGAGATTTGGATAGCAACCCAAACCTACAGCCAAGCCAATGCTTTGTATTAAAATACAATTCTATCATACAAACTAACAAGTAGATGGCCTTAAAGTTAACACACATTGCAACTAATTTTGGACTAAAACCATAAATAAAACACTAATGATAGACTAAAACAACTTTTCAAAAAAACAAAAACAAGTTTTGTTTTAATTGAAAGTTATCTCCTCATTTCGTGTTTTCTCAGTATTTAGTCATACAAGTTCAAAAATTTCCTTTAGTGTTTGTATCCTAAGCAATTCTGTTGTAGTCAATATTTTAAATTCCTTTTGCAAGTGCTTTCTATAAGTACCTGCATGAATTATGCTGGGACATTAGGGTTTGTTGATATTAAAAAGAGCTGGTATAAGCATCAGAATGTCAATGGTAAGAAAAATTATTCTGGAGGATAGCTGAGACAAAAAAGGTGGTCTAAACATGAAGGGACATTGGGTTTGTTTTGTGTGGAAGTTACCAGTGGGTGTGGGTTGGTGCAACTCCCTGCCTGGTCGTAGCTCTGTCATTGCGTTGGTAGCTGATGCTCTGAAGTAGATATTACTTCAGTGTAGCTGGCATCCAAGGCAGTAGAAACTAACACCCAAAGAGTTCAAACATCAGAGTGGGCTTCTTTTTCAACAAATAGAGTAGAACAACATCACATTTGCAGTATAAGATCACCGAATCATACCCATTTCAATAAGGAATTTCAAGCAGTTCTACTTGGTCTTGAACCTAACGAATTCCAAGATTGCAGCAGTCCCCATAAAACATAATTCACTCTTATGTTTTAACTCTTTAACCCTGGCCCTTATTACACATCTTTCTACTCAGGATGGCAGCGTCCTCAGAGTCGACTGCATGGTGTGTTTTGACCTCGGGAGTGCCATTAGTCTCAGTGGGCATGGGTGATGAGAGAGAGCTTGATCTTTCCTCCATTTTTGTCACTGGGCCTTGCCCTTTACCAACTTTAATATTTGCTTTAAACATACAGTTCACCCAAAGGTGTAAAATCATTTACTCACATCATGTCATTCCAAATCTAATGTAGAACAAAAAAACAATTTTTTTTGAAAATCATCTCCAAACATTTTTTGTCCATAAAATTAAAGTCAATGTTTTGGACCCCACTGACTTGAATTTTATGGACAAAAGCATTCTCCAAAATATCTTTGTGCGGTGTGTGTGTGTTCCAAGGAAGAAAGAAGGAAGTCAGGTTTGGAGTGATATAAGGGTGAGCAAATGATACAGAATTTGCATTTATGCTGAACTATCCTTTTAAGAATCACATTGCATTTAGAGTCAATTAAAACATTAAACATTAACTCTAAGAAAGTATCGATTCTCCTTCTAAGTAATGGATGTCATTAAGAGCATTGGCTTCATATTAAAGCACCATCTTGCTTAGCATCTGTTCGTTTGCAACTGTTGCACAGAGCAAGCCTTCTCTCACCATGACATTCCCAGACCCTTTTCCTTTAGAGCAAATTGACAGAGCAAAGTATGCATGAATTCAGGTCAGTACTATAAGGTTTAATAACCAAGCAACAATGCGAGGTTATTGATGTGTTTTGCAAACACACCTGTGTTTTATTTTGCCATGCACTGATTGTGCGGTTACATTCCCTTTAAATTAAACATTGCAGTTCTGAGGGTCAAATTTTGGGAGCACCAGTTGGTGTATGGTTAAAATAAAGCAATCTTATAAAGTCTTAGATACTCTGCATCTTCCTCAATTCCTTAATATTTGGGACTTTTGACTTCTAATATCTTACTATACCTGGCAGCAATGGCTCGGGAACATCAGAAGATCTGTTCTGGAAGTTGGATGCCCTACAGACCTTCATCAGGGACCTACATTGGCCAGAAGAAGAGTTTGCCAAACATCTGGATAACCGTATGAAGCTCATGTCAAGTGACATGATTGAGACAAGTGTTAAACGGTAAAATAGTATCTCTAGCAGCAAAACAATTGATGGTATACATGAAGATTTTAAAGTATGTCTTTGAAGTATGAATGAAATTTCATGCAAGATGACTCATTTACTTCCCACCCTTTGCTGGTCAACAGCACCAGGGCAGCGTTTGAATCTAAGCTGGCCAAAAGCAGCCGTTCCACAGATTTCCGCATCCCACTGTCCTTATGCACCATGTTCAATGTGATGGTGGATGCCAAGGACCAGTCTGCTAAACTGTGTGCCATGGAAATGGGCCAGGAGGTAATTGGCAAAACTTCTGACTGATATGACAGACAAAAGCTTGATCTATACTGGTACTTTCACATCATCCTCAGGAGTCAACATTATGCAAATGTTTGTGAGAATACATCAAGAAAATGATGAGAAAAATGATAACGCCCCCATTAATTACAATTTCATGTTTGGTCAAAATTTCATTTTTCAAGGATGCATGTTTTAATTGGTAAATCAGTGTATTTTAATGGCATACAAGTGTGAATTTGGTTGTACAGGCACCTGCAACTTTGTTCAATAAAGATTTGGCCATGCCTTTCTATTTCTGTATGGATTTATCTTTGGTTTAAACAGCTACGGCTGAGTTATCTGTCTTTATATATCCACTGTATAAGTTTGTCTAAGTATTTAAATCTGTCTTTACCTTTTAGAAACAGTACCACTCTCAGATCGATGAGCTTATTGAAGAGAGTGTAAAAGACATGATTTCCCTTTTGGTGGCAAAGGTACGTTTTGAGAAAATGGTTGACATCAAGGAAGTACTGCATCGGTATAACTCTTGTTGAATTATTTGTCATTGAGTTATTGGTTTTGTGCCACCTGAACAGTTTGTGGTCATTCTGGAGAGCATACTTGCCAAGATCTCCAGGTATGATGAGGGAACTCTCTTCTCCTCCTTCCTCTCCTTCACGGTAAGAATTATCTCCTATTTCCAATTCTAGTATTAAACCATTCTGGATTTTTAAAGGTGCACATTTTTTATGTAATTTGCACTTAATCTTGTCATTTTTGTGGTGCTAAGCTTTACTGTACATTGAAAATTACTTTAGGTGTTAAACATATTTAACATATTTAAAAGGAGAGTGATTTTACCCAGAAACGCTTGATTCAAACTTTTTATTCATTTCAGGTGAAAGCAGCATCAAAATATGTGGATGTCCCTGTGAGTATTAAAAATTCAACATACTTTCCCTAATATTTCTTCTTCATTCAAATCCATACAAAACTAACATTTTCCTCTTCCACAGAAACCAGGGATGGATGTTGCAGATGGCTATGTGACCTTTGTTCGTCACTCTCAGGACATTCTGAGAGATAAGGTCAATGAGGAGGTGTATATAGAGAGATTATTTGATGTAAGTAAGATGCTGTAACCTCCGTGCCTAACAAAGGAGGGCCCATCCAAAATGTGGCAAAACAATGGGGCATACGAGGGATAAGTCACATTTTGAGTGCCGAACCTGGAAACCTTACATCCAGACAAGGCCAATCATGACCTGAAGCTTTCAGTCAGCTCCCTAATGTCTCATTGCTGTGACTTCCTGTTCCAGCTCTCTGTGCTCTGGTGTTTCATTAGCCACGATGCATTGGACCTTTGTGCTCTGGTGTTGTGTTAGCTAACGTGCGTTGGACTTTATGCTCACAGCGGTTTCTTGTTTAAGAGGCAAAGTGTCACCAAGTGGATTATTTATAAGACAGTGCTCTCAAAAGAGTCGATTTTATTTTGACCTGAAAATTGACGTAACACAATTTATTTTAAATACTACCAAATCCCTGACACCAAATCAGCACAGAGAAATAAGAGGACCGATTTTACTAAATACATTATAAAAATTGAAAATTTTCAAACCATCAAAGCAATTTAAGCTTAAAGTATAAGTTTTATATATTTTGCAAAATCTATACCTCATCACTTTTCATAAAATTACACTTTATTTCACTTTGTATATTGATATAATATTAATATTGATATGCATGTAATTTGATTAAAATTTGTAAGAGATTGAAAGCCCTAATTTTTAAATACCAACTGACATAGGGTATAAGAGAGCACTGTTCGATTTAGAAAAATAATCCTTTGTGATTGTGTGAACGTGTCTTTGTTACACAATGGCATACATGTGTGTTTATATATTTTAATAAGAAATGTAACAGATGTGTGGACCAGTGGTTGTCTCGGATACAAGTGTGTGTGTGTGTGTGTGTGTGTGTCAAGTCAAGTCAAGTCACCTTTATTTATATAGCGCTTTTAACAATACAGATTGTGACAAAGCAACTGAACAGCATTAATTAGGAAAATAGTGTCAATAATGCAAAATGACAATAGTAAACACTCATTTTTCAGTTAAAGACAGTTCATCATTGAATTCAGTGATGTCAACATCCAGCTTAGTTCAGTGTGTGTGTGCATGAGGGTTTGTCAGCGTTTTTATTATTATTTAATTTTCTGTATTTTGTTTCCTGTATAAATGAGTGTGTGTGTGAATATTTAGTTGTGTGTCATACCATACTTTAATGAGTTGTATGTATCAGAATATTATGAAAAAAAATGTGTATGTGTGTGTGTGTGTGTGTGTGTGTGTCTGTTTGACTGTTGAGAAGTCTATTCCATAACTTTTTTGCAGCTTTACTTGCTTGTGTTTGGAGCATTTGTGACACACACATCTTATGCATGGATCTGCCTTTATTATTTTATTTTATTTAAAATTCAGTGGTTGTTATGTGCATTGTTTTTTCTCCACACTAAGTTTGTAATAATGCATTTAACGTCCAACCTCAAAGACCCACAGTGAATCTGGCATGATTCCTCCTGTTTTTGCTCTATAGTTTCAGTCTGTCCGTATTAAAATGTCTTCTCAAGAATTCTGTCCAACATAATCACCATCAGTGAAAGGCTCAGAGGCATGAAATCAAAAGCAATGATTAAAATTGTAAAATTTAGGGTGGCAGCTGCCATATAACAACTGTTGATTGGCAAATTATTGAATAGCAGCTAGAGACATGCATGTTTCTGTTTGTTTTAACTGAATTTTTGCTTGGACAGTTTCGTCAAACAGACTGAAATTGTGGAAATTTGTAAGGTTCAGTGTGGTCTTATGAGGTCAGGTGTCAAAAGGCATATTCAGCTGAGGGCTGTATGTCAAAAACAATTAACAGGATTGATTAGTCACTTTTACTTGCTAATTCAACTATTAAAGTTACATTCAAGATTAGACATTTGAACAAACATCTAACCCAGGAGTGCCCAAACTCTGTCCTGGAGGGCCGGTGTCCTGCAGAGTTTAGCTCCACCTTGCCTCAACACACCTGCCTTTAAGTTTCTAGTATGCCTAGTAAAAGCTTGATTAGCTGGTTCAGGTGTGTTTAATTGGGGTTGGAGCTAAACTTTTCAGGACACCGGCCCTCCAGGACCGAGTTTGGACACTCCTGCACAAACCGAAAGTATTGCATCTTGTGGAGGAAAGTTATTACTTTTCTAAATGCATAAAATAGGCACAAAAAAATCCCCTATATCGTGACCAGAACATTAATGGGATCTGAAGCTCTCCATTTTCCAAGCTGAATATCTCTCTTCCAGCATCATGTACTGTCTGAACGGGGAATCGTGGTGATTTTGTTGTATTATGCAACTTGTGTTACAGATTTTGGTTGCATGCGACTACATTTCTGTACGTCTGTTATGTCATTTTCATTACATTCTCCCTCTTTAAACACTTTGTACTCACGTTATCCTAACCCAGAGACAGCATCCCGACTCATTCTGCATTCCTACTAGGACAAAGTGGAACTTATCTCTAAATGTCCTGCTGTTTGATCACATTCTGTCGAGTGGCATGAGTCCTAATCAAATAATCTTCCTGTGTACATCTTCTAGCATGACCCACCTCCTAAAAATCTCACCTCATGCACACACACACAGCTCTCTGCCCTGTACACTCACCTGCACTCTCTGCATGCACTGCACACTCCGACCGGCCACCACTTTGAAGTGGACAGATGTAAAGAGAAATCGCCGATCGAACCATCAGATGACCCTAATACAGCAAGAAATCTGATTCAATTCACATAATCACATATCAAGTAATAAGAAATCATATGTGTAATATAATTATATATACATATAAAAGGATTGGCTAAATCGTAACGGCTATTTGTACCTCTTGGGAACTGATAATAGCCTACTTCAAAACTCTTCAGATTGATTTGTGCACATAGGATACAGCACTTCCTCTTCTAGATGATAGTTTACATCATTCATTGAACCACACATGTGCTGTTCTCTTTGAACTACAAGCATTTAGGTGATTCTGAATATGCATGAATATGAGCTTTTCATAATGTAGATATGGTTTAAGATAACAGTACAACACTCCTTTGCCTGCCTTATTCTTTTTATGAGTTTGTTTCTGAGAATTCTGATTGTGACTGCACTAATTTTGTTTGCATCTTGGGTTCTTTAGAGTATGCTTTTGGGTTCAGTGGTGCTTTTTAAACCTTCAAGTTCACAGTCATTCATGCACAAGTGCTGTTTTATAACATTCAGCATGATTAATGGTGAAGGGGTGGGGGGAAGCACTGAATTTAATCTGTTCCGTTTTTCAAAAGCTGAAGACTTGATTAGAATAGGGCTTTGTTCAAGCTTATTTCAGGTAACCAGATTTGTATTAAGTCGTTACAGGCTAAGCTGAAACTGTAGGGCATATTAAGTGTTTGTTTTATTAATTATGCAATTTCCTAATGCATGATTTGTTTTTTTCAGATGGTCATACTTCTGGCTCTTGAATTAATTTTTGTCTGACTAACCTTGGTTTTAAGTGAGGGTGTGATTGTATAAGTGTTGATATCAGTTGTGTGTTTGTGTGTATGAATATGTGTGTTGTGGGTTTACTTGCGTATGGCTGTTACTGTATTGTCTACACATGCTGGTCTCTTGCATGCGTTTGTTTGTCTGTCTGTGTTTTGCTGGAGAATGCTGTGTTTTTGTGCTTTGCAGCAATGGTATACAGCCACTATGAATCTGCTGGCGACCTGGCTGACTGAACGCATGGACCAACAGCTTCATGTCTATCAACTCAAAATCCTCATCAGGATTGTAAAGGTATTTCTTTCTAACATACATGGAAGTGCTTATGCTCTGAAGCTGTAGTGGTATGATTGTAGTCTAGGTAAAACCACACTGTTTTGTTCTAGATTCCAGTCTATGATTTTGACTTTGCTTAGGGATGCACAAAATGAGTTTCTTTAATTTATCAGTATTGGTCTGTTGGGTATTTGCTGTTTTATATATATATATATATATATATATATTAGATATTAAATTATGCATGCTCATTTCCCTTATTCTAACATGTAGAATATATTTCATTTATATTTGTCATCTAACACTCGCTTTAAGTTTGTAATAATTTAATAACACTGCAAATCTCAACATGAAAATACATTTATACATTCATACTGTACATTATAATGTTGTGCTTACTAAATTCACTTGCAATATTTAAAATTAAATTACACTGGTTGCCAAAAGTTTAGAATAATTAAGTTTTTATGTTTTTGAAAGACGTCTCTTATGCTGCATTACAGCATACAGTAAAATTTAAAGGGGTCATATGATGTTGCTAAAAAGAACATTATTTTGTGTATTTGGTGTAATGAAATGTGTTTATGTGGTTTAAGGTTCAAAAAACACATTATTTTCCACATACTGTACATTATTGTTTCTCCTCTATGCCCCGCCTTTCTGAAACGTCGATTTTTACAAAGCTCATCGATCTGAAAAGCAAGGTGTGCTCTGATTGGCCAGCTATCCAGTGCATTGTGGTTGGCCGAATACCTCAAACGTATGACGGAAGTATGCCCCTTACCATACTGTGATGCCCTGTCTGACCGGAGCGACGAGAGCGTGGTTGACTCTTAACTTTTATAAAGAATATCTCTTTGGATTTGAGACTTTAGTCTTTACAACTTTACAGATCTTCTTTATGCACCAAGAGCTTGTAACACTTCAAAGAGAAAGGCAAAATTGAAATCGCATCATATGACCCCTTTAAAATAACTGTTTTCTATTTAAACATATTTTGAAATGAAATTTATTCTAGTGATAGCAAAGCAGCCAATAATATGCTGATTTGGTGCTCAAGAAACATTTCTTATTTTTATCAATGTTGAAAAAAGGTTTGCTGCTTAATATTTTTATGGAAACTGTGTTATGCTAACATTTAAAAGTTTGGTTTATGTATTGTTTAAAAAAAAAGAAAGAAAAAAAATTAATAATGTTAAGAAAAGAAAGACATTTATAATGACATTTATAATGTCAAGAATTACATTTTAAAATCTATTCAAATAGAATACATTTATTTGAAATTTCACAATATTACTGTTTTTACATAATCAAATAAATGCAGCCTTGGTGAGCATAAGAGACATTAAAAATCTTAATTATTCCAAACTTTTGGCTGCCACTGTAATTAATTGGGACAAAATAGTATATCAGCTATTTATCAGTATACTGTCCAGAATTGTAATAGCTTGCATCCATAGTCTTGCTATTCTTTCTGGCCTTGTTTGACATACAGGTATTTAGCTTTAACATTCAGGGGCAAAGAAGTCTGATAGTGTGTATAATGTCTGCTGATATCTCCCATTCTTGTAGAAGAAATACAGAGATTTTAGGCTGCAAGGCGTTCTTGACTCTACACTGAACAGCAAGGCATACGATACGGTACGGAACCGGCTGACCCTGGAGGAAGCCACTGCCTCTGTCAGAGAGGGGGGCATGCAGGGCATCTCGATGAAGGACAGCGATGAGGAAGACGAGGAGGACGATTAGAGCATCGAGCCATCCGGTGCCACCCACCACCCTGAACCCAACCCGTCTATCCAACCCTACCCTACCCCAACACTTTAAACTTAGCCTGATAACGTAAGATGCATGTATCAACTCTGATTACCCAGTTAGCCACTCTAGGATCTCCCCCCATCAGCTCGAATTCCCCACAAAAACAAAGCTAAAAAACAATAAAAATCAAAGAATTGTACTAAAGAGTAAAAAGAACGTTGCAAAGACCATAATTGGCCATTTAAGCTGTGTCATAACATAATAAAGAACAACAAACTAGCACCAATTTTTCAACTCGTTTATTTGAGGAATTTGTTTCTATGTGTTCCTAAGCAATATGGAGTACCATTTGTTTGATAATGTCGAGTGAGATTATTAGGTGTGTCCCTGTCCAATGCGATAACATATATGGCGCTTCTTTGACGTACTCTTACATACATTAATGGTACATTGTTGTGAAGATGAGTGTATGGACCCTTTTCTTTGTCTTGTCTGTTTTTAAAGTGGATGCCAACTGCTTCAAAACTAAAAATGAACCTCTGTATTTAAGTTCAAAACTGTTAACTGTAAATGTCTTCTGTGTCTGCACATTTCCATTGTACATTTTTCCTTATTTGTGTCGTGGCTCTGTGGCCCTATGTCGCAAATATCCAACTAGGCATTGTCTCACAGGCATCTTAAACTGAAAATGAATTGGTATTCTAGAAATGCAATATTGCCATACCTCCATTTTGATATCTCATTGGAGACGTCTTTTAATTAGATGTCAGAAATGACAACAAAAAACTGCTATATTTTTGGTTCAGTTTCACTTTTACAGAGGATCTCTATCTCTCTTTTTTAAGTTTGTATGTCCAATTAAAGTCATTCTCTTTATGTTAGAAGATCTGTTGAAACTGCTATGTGCCATTTTTGGGGTCTCACTTGTTTTTGTATATATCATGCTGTACATTGCATTCTGAGCCATTGCTGCATGCCTGTGGGATCCACCTTCTCCAAAAGCTTTTGTTGTTGTTGTTTTTCTGTGTCAATTAGCTGGTGGATTCATTCTTGCGTTTGCCTTATCAAAGCCAACAGTTGTAATATGCAAGAGCTGTGGCCTCTCAATAAAGATAACATGATGTACTAATATAGGCTTGCCTGTAGATTTTGTTTCTTTGTCTTTATTCAGAATGTGGATTCAGTGACCCCCATCATTAAAAAAGAAATTATAATTTACTAGTTTCGTTGGAGTTGCATAACTTTAGTCCTTTCGTAATGGACTTTTATTTTGACGTATTTCACCATGACGTTTAACCTAGTTGGCTTCACGTTCGCGCAGATAAAGTAACTTCATATCACGTAACGTTAATAAAAAGCACAATAGTCTCTTACTCTTAATTTATCTGATTTCGCTCAATTAAAATGCCTGTCCCACCTGGATCCATAATCGTGTCGGATTGGCATCGCTGTCCAGACAGCAGGGAGTTTTTCAGCAGGATACTGCACAAGAAGAAACGGCGAAAGTTTGGTAAGGATGATCACCATGGATACAGCAGTTAGGCATCATGTTTCTTATCTTACTGGTCAGGTATTTCTTGTTTTGTTTAATAAAAGAACAACACAAATAAGTATTTGTTACAGCCAACATATAAAATGCTACGTGAATTTTTATATAACTTACTGTGAAGGGCTCTTGGAAGCGCCAATGATGCCTCCTCATATGAATGTGGACATCGTTCGCTACAAGGTCTTCCTCTCTGGGAAAACCGGAGTCGGGAAAAGCGCTCTTGCTGCCCGTCTCGCTGGCCTCGATCTCCCCAAAATGCACTACGAGACCACAGGTAAACAAATCACACATTTAAAATGAATTAAGTACATTTTTATTGTAAAAAGATTTTCTCTTGAACACATTTATAGTACTTTTAAAGGGGTCATATGATGCGATTTAAATTTTTCCTTTCTCTTTGGACTGTTACAAGCTCTTGGTGCATAAAGAAGGTCTGTAAAGTTGCAAAGACTAAAGTCTCAAATCCAAAGAGATATTCTTTATAAAAGTTAAGAGTCAACCACACCTACCTAAAACAGCTTGTTCTAACACGCCCCCACATGTCTACATCACGATGTGGGAAGATTTGCATAACGCCGCCCAAATGTTCACGCAAAGAAAGAAGGCGCAACTTTTATTCTCGCTGTAGTTTTGTTGTTTCCGCTGTCGTAAAGACGCTGTGTGCTTCGTTGTAAAAGCGAAACTACTTTGTTTGGCCTTCCAAAAGAGGACGATATCCGCTTCGTCATGCCTGGAGCTGATCCATGCTGGTCGCTGAGGAAATACTACAACTTTGCGCTGTCGATCGCCGGATCGGCTTTCACCGTGGACGAAGCGGAGTCCAGCCCGGAGTCGTCACGTCCTTCCGGACGCTCCTTCGTCGAAATCACTGGCCGCGCCGTTCTCAAGCCAACCCGCCTCTACTCACTCTAACCCTCCGGCCGTGCACTTTATCCCCCGTCCTCGGCTCACTGTAGGCCACAGTGTGTGAAGTCATTATAATCCATAATTATGTCCCCACTGGATGCAACGAATGCCTCGTTTATAATGGGTTTTAATGTTTTTGAATCATCGCTCCGGCCTGACGGCATCATCACAATGTGGTAAGGGACGTAACATTTCCGTCACACGCTTGAGGTATTCGGCCAATCACACCGCACTGGATAGCTGGCCAATCAGAGCACACCTCGCTTTTTCAGACCGATGAGCTTTGTAAAAATCGATGCGTTTCAGAAAGGCGGGGCATAGAGGAAAAACAATAATGTACAGTATGTGGAAAAGAATGTGTTTTTTGAACCTTAAACCGTATAAACATTTCATTACACCAAATACACAAAATAATGTTCTTTTTAGCAGCATCATATGACCCCTTTAATGAATACGTTTGAAAAACATTTGAGCGATTAAGACTTCAGTCATGTCAGTGCCCAATAAAAATAAGCGATTCTATTCAACATGGGGCGGATCGCCCTCTCATGGCGGCCTTGAGATAACTTGGCCAGCCACATAAAACTATTATAATACACATTTAGTTTAGTAGAATAATAGTTATTAATAATGGATGACGACAAATATTTTACTAATACGTTATTTGAATGTGTACAATAGCATTAGTAACAGCTTTGAAGTTTGCTTCATTACATCCACACCGATAGGTGTCAGTATCCGCGTCATTCACGATATGTCACTGTATTAATTTAATACAATCAGTAATAAAAAAAAAAAACTTCAGTGGTCATTGCTTCATAGAGCTGTGATTCTTGTAGGCATAGAGACAACAGTGGTCTTCTGGCCTGTAAGAATAAAGGAGAGTGGCCGTGTGTTGTTTTTCCGCTTTGAGCTTTGGGATTGTGGGGAAAGTGCAATACGAAGATTTGACCACATGTTACCGGTGAGCATTTCCATCATATTACAGTTACTTACATTCCCAGGGATAGTTCACCCCCAAAAAACATAATTTACTCATTATGTTGTTCCAAACCTGTATGAATTCCTTTCTTCTGTGGAACATAAAACAAGATATTTTGAAGAAAGTTGGTAACCAAACAGTTGCTGGTCCCCATTGACTTCCATAGTATGGAACAAAAATACTATTGAAGTCAATGGGGACTAGCAGCACTTTGGTTACCATCATTCTTTAAAATATCTTCTTTCGTCATTTCTTTTCTTTCACAGAATAAAGAAACTCATACAGGTTTGGAACAACTTAAGGATGAGTAAATTTTCATTTCTGTGTGAACTGTCCCTTTAACCCACATTCTGTTTCACTGTATCATTTGAAAGTATGATATTTAATGGTGTCCTTTTTCTCTCTTTAGTCCTGTAAGGAACAGGTGGATGCCATCCTTTTTCTTTTCTCCTTCACTGATCGTGGCTCCTTTGATGATCTTTCAAATCAAATATCACGGATCACAGAACCTTCGGATCGAGTGGTTAATTTGGTCGTAGGCACCAAGTATCCTTTACCAGTTGAGAGCACTTATTTGTGCAAATGCATGTGTTATTATGTGTTACTTGAAATAAAATAAATATGAACTGAAATAAAATATCAAAATCTTAAACTTATTTTACTTAGATTAATTTGATGTTCTAAAATAACTAAAACAGAAATCAAATGAATGAAAACTATATAGATAGGCCTATATTTAAAAACAAAAAATAATAAAACTGACAAAAATGGAAAAAATAATAAATAAAATATAAAATAAATAAAAACATTCAACATATTATACTAAAATTACACTGATGTAACACTGATGTGACATTGTCATGGCCCTTAACAGTGCAGATTTGACTTATTTATGCACACAGATGTGACAGAGAGTAACGTAACACATTTTCAAGAGGTTTGGGGTCTTCCGGTCTTCCGAGTGGGAGGTGATGTAAGTGCGGGGCTTGGTGAAGTAGCACCCCTACTAAATGCCCTTGCAGAAAACCTGTGGCACCAAGACTGTATGGCTGCTTCATCTGTGTCCATCTCCACACAGGCTGCTCTCAGAGGAACAGACTCCGAGATCATTGTATAACTTGTACATGTGTTGTGGTTCAATCTCACAAGGATTGGTCATTCATGGATGGAATATGCTGCTATGGAAACACTCTAAATACCACTTACTATTTTTTGCTTTCTAAATGTCTGTGAGTCAAGTAATGGTGAACAAAAATATTAAAATGTCATGAAATTAGTTTGTTTGTAGTTAAAAAAAAAAAAAAAACATTGTTATGTGCATATATTCATGAACCTCATTATATATTGAAGTAAAAAAAAAAGTTAACATTTGTTTTTGTTTAATGACCAAATTGATTAAGTACAATAAAGAAGGAAACAGATTAAAGTTTCTGAAATGCTTAAAAATACATCCAAGCATTAGATTTTCACTTCTTTGAATTAATCCATGATTGGCAAGCATTTTGCTGTATGCTTTTGGGCTTTGATGCTCAACAAACCACCTTTCTCTAGAGAAGATGTGACTGACATTGGATCCACATCAGCTGGGAACTGACACTTCTGACGAACAGCGTCCACGATTGTGCCATCTGATGCCAACTGATTCATCAGTGAAGAAAAATGGAAATTAGAATACAACGAGCAAGATATTGTGCAAAAACACAAATAAATAAATCTAATATTACATGCTCTTAATTTTTAAAAGAAAATGTGTTTTGAAAGAAACACATTTTGTCTGCACAGACTTGTATTGAATTATTGGTGGAGGTTACAAAAACTTCTTCTGGTGCAAAATCGCTTACATTCACTGTGAATATATACATATCTCCAACAGTCCACATTTCCCTCTTTGAAAAACAGATGTTCATTGTTAGTTCCTTATTGAGTTCAAATTAATCATATGTTTATTGTGTTAGAACAAATTAAAAGTCTACAACAGTACAGAACTCACCTTTGAATCAATGCTTGCCACTGATGATTTGTATGGTTGGAAAGGAAACATAGATAAGTGCACTTTAATCCAGCTCTTTAATTCACTGAAAAATATTTTGTAATTGGTGAGCATTTGATGCTCATTTTCTCAGTGTAATTGTTTAGACCAATGGGATGCTTCTGGGGTTTTGGGTGAGGCTAATATGACGTCAATGTATCATATATGAGAGAACAGATTCATCTTGTAGGGTGTTAATCATAACGTCCTCTGTCTGTTCAGCCCTGCATTTATTTGAATCAGTCTGTTAAGGAATACCCTCTGTAGAAGTCTTCGACAAAACTTAAGATGGAAAACTAAATGTACTATTGATTGATTACAAATGTAAGATTTGATCATGGTTGAAAATATGAGACTCACCCTAGCAACAAATACAGATAAACACAACAGCAGCTAGAGAGCTGATATGAAATTCCTGATCCTCATTACAGCTGTCAAATCGAAACTGAATAACCAGATGTTCCGTCAATTTTAGTGTACGTCATGGAAGGTTACTTTTAAGCGTGTACAATAAATCGGACCCTTAAATAAAGCTTCCTCTTGCTTTGACTTTCAGCTCAAGTTGACATGGGACTTTTATTCTGAAACGTCCGTAGGTGGGGTGGCCATTTTGTTTCCGCTTTACTGCCTCCAGCTTCATCTCGTCTTTCGCAGTCATTGACGAATTTTGTCGGCGGGCTTTTTTAACGTGACCGAAATGTACATCTGAAACGATTTTCACTTACAAAAAAATATTATAAAACATTCGCTACACACAGCACTGATAAATCAGATTCCAATCTACTCGCTGTTTTTAACTAAACGATCCTCAAGCGCCTGGCCAGGCATAAAGGCCACAATGAAGCTCACAGACAATGTGCTGCGGAGTTTTAGGGTTGCGAAGGTTTTCCGAGAGAATTCGGACAAAATCAACTGCTTTGACTTCAGTTCAAATGGCGAAACTGTAATATCGAGTAGCGACGACGATTCGATTGTCTTGTACGACTGCCAGGAGGGAAAGTAAGTCGCATATAAATTCCTAATTGTGATTTTTTTTGTACAACTGGCTGGTGTTGTTCCGTGTCGATTTGGTCTTAACGAGCTTTAAAACATTGATTTTGGTTACAGGAGCATTACTGTGAGAGATGTGAAAGGTTAAGATTACCCCAGTAATAAGAACGTCTTTCGCAGTCATTGACGAATTTTGTCGGCGGGCTTTTTTAACGTGACCGAAATGTACATCTGAAACGATTTTCACTTACAAAAAAATATTATAAAACATTCGCTACACACAGCACTGATAAATCAGATTCCAATCTACTCGCTGTTTTTAACTAAACGATCCTCAAGCGCCTGGCCAGGCATAAAGGCCACAATGAAGCTCACAGACAATGTGCTGCGGAGTTTTAGGGTTGCGAAGGTTTTCCGAGAGAATTCGGACAAAATCAACTGCTTTGACTTCAGTTCAAATGGCGAAACTGTAATATCGAGTAGCGACGACGATTCGATTGTCTTGTACGACTGCCAGGAGGGAAAGTAAGTAGCATATAAATTCCTAATTGTGATTTTTTTGTACAACTGGCTGGTGTTGTTCCGTGTCGATTTGGTCTTAACGAGCTTTAAAACATTGATTTTGGTTACAGGAGCATTACTGTGAGAGATGTGAAAGGTTAAGATTACCCCAGTAATAAGACATGTGATTTATGAGTTTTACTGTTCATAGAGAGTATTGTAGTTTGAACATGTTTATGTACAGTAGCGATTTCCGATTCGTTTAAGTTGAATCTTTTCAGTGAATCAGTTGAGCCGGTTCACTGACTCACTGAACCCAGTGTCTTTGTTTTATGCGCTCAATCATGGCGGCAACTAAATAAACCGTAACACGTGAATTTTTAATAATCAGCGTTTAATAACCGGTATGGCATTATAGTAATACGCCTCGCTAGGATGTCAAGGACCACGAAATGACGTAAAAGACCCGCCGTATCTTTAACCGGATCTTTGAAACAAATATTTCGAAGGAACCGATTCGCGGAAATGAGTCGAATGGACAGTCTGAATGAGAGGTCGCTTGCTAACCGTTAGCATCCACGCCTCCTTCCGACCCCGCCTTGAGACCTTACTGTAAAGTCTAGTATTTTATTTTTAATGTTAAGTGTTTCATAATACACCGAGAATTGCGCGTATATAAATAAGCGATCAGATTAACTTATTTATTTCCGATTCTGTCCTTTATATCAGACCCAAACGGACGCTTTACAGTAAGAAGTATGGTGTGGATCTCATCAGATACACCCATGCAGCCAACACTGTCGTCTACAGCTCCAACAAGATTGATGGTAGGACTCTTTATATAAAGTCTTATGATATTGTGTTGCATTGCAGCTCCTATGCCGTTCAGTTTTGCCATACTATGGATAAAATGTTAATTGAACCTTTTTTTGTTACGTTATGTTTTTTTCTTGTCAGTAAAAACAGTCAATGACAGTATTTTCCTGCAGTGTGATATGCTTTATTTGACCTAAAAGTATAAAAACAATTTAATAAAATGTTCTATATATTTTTTAATTCTGTGCAATTTTATGACTTCATATTAAATGCATAATTGTTATTCTTATTTATGTATTTGGGTGTTTATTACTTATAATCATTTGTTTCGTTTATTTGTATGTTTATGTTGATTAAGTGATTTTCTCAAAGCTTTGCTGCTGATGTTCGTGTCTACCTGTGCCTGCTCTGGGTTGAGGTAGTTGTTTGTACAGTTTTTAGGGTCTGTTATTCTGCCCTGTTAAGGAGCTAACTGTACAGACTACTGCCTTGCCCAGGGTTGAGCCTGTTCATCTGACACAGTATACAGTACATTTTATCAATTCACGTGTAAAATCTTGTAGCTTTCCTTTGAGATGATACTGATATTTTCTTCTCTATGTGGTACTACAGATACTATTCGATACCTGTCCCTACATGACAATAAGTACATTCGATACTTTCCTGGACACAATAAGAGGTGAGGGTTTGTGACATTACATTTTCTTTTCTTGTTTATTGGCTTTTGAGTTATAGCACTTGTGTTTGTGTATTTTATCCTGTTTCAGGGTTGTTGCTCTGTCTATGTCTCCTGTTGATGACACATTCATTTCTGGCTCACTCGATAAAACTATTCGTCTGTGGGACCTTCGCTCACCTAACTGTCAGGTACGCAGTTGTTTTATTTTGGGTTTGTGTGTGTTTTTCTTGTTAGTCTATACTAGATTTTTAATCTGGGTTGTGTTCACAGGGCCTCATGCACCTGCAAGGGAAGCCTGTGTGTTCATTTGATCCGGAGGGGTTGATTTTTGCTGCAGGAGTGAATTCTGAGATGGTCAAACTTTACGATCTACGCTCCTTTGATAAGGTAATTGTATTAAACTGCATCCTAGAAGCAGTAGTGATATTTGTCTTTTAAATGGTAAAAATGTATACATTTGTGTCACACCTTCTGCCTCAGGGTCCATTCGCCACGTTTAAACTACAATATGAGCGAACATGTGAGTGGACGGGTCTCAAGTTCAGCAACGACGGAAAGCTCATTCTGGTCTCCACCAATGGTGGAACACTCAGAGTGCTGGATGCTTTCAAAGGAGCAGTGCTCCACTCATTTGGGGTGAGAAATTAGTGTCATTTTGAATAGGCTTTTGTCAAAGTTTGTTTTTAAGATTAAGTGTGTGTCTCATGGAGTCTTTCGTCCTCACTGCAGGGCTATAACAACAGTAAAGGTGTCATTCTGGAGGCCTCTTTCACGCCAGACTCTCAGTTCGTCATGATCGGTAAGTCTTCGCCAGTAGATTCAGAAAGGACTAGGGATAAATTCACCGAGAGTGATGCCTGTCGTCTCAACATTTTGCTTTCCAGGATCAGAAGATGGAAAGATCCATGTGTGGAATGCTGAGAGTGGAATGAAAGTAGCACTTCTTGATGGCAAGCACACTGGTCCAGTCACCTGTCTACAGTTTAACCCCAAATTTATGACCTTTGCCAGTGCCTGTTCTAACATGGTAAGAGTTAACCATAAAGTAGAAATAAATCTGAAATATTTGTTATAGGTCAGTCCAGATGGAATATGTGCACTCCAAACGCCCTCCAAACACTGGTGAAACATATGGCGCTTTTCCACTGCGTGGTACAGTACGGCTCGGCTCGGTTTGCGTTTCCACTGCAGTTTAGTATCGCTTTAGAGTGGGCGGGATTATTCACATGTAGTTATAGTTGCTTCGTCTCTACTGCCGCGACTCCTGAAAAACTTTTTCATTCCGCGTCGCCCCATCAAGCTCTCGCTGGATCTGCTCCTCTGCTATCAACAAGAGGAACGTCTGTACTTCAACAGACAGCGAAACCGCCACTTTTTGGTGGTTTAAAAAAAGGTGCGCTCGTTCAAAACCGTTGCGTTCGATCCTTCGCTGGCTGTGCTGATTTAAATCTAGTGGTTCTGTTGTGTTTGTCACAAGTTCAGTGACGCAGGTAGTGACGATTCTCTCCGGCCAATCCGTGATCAGCAGAGTTTACATGTCACGTTTTGGTAACGGTACGGTTCACTTGGAAACTCAACCGAGGTGGTACTAAAAAAAGTACCAGGTACTGTACCCAGTGGAAAACCCCCCAAAAGTGAACCGTACCAAGCCGTACCATGCAGTGAAAAAATACTTATATTTTTGTAGTTTTTATTTATTGTTTGGATTTATGGAGGATTTGCTGAAAATTTACTCAAACTCATCTACATCTTGGATGACCTGAGGGTGTTTCTTCATCAGAACAGATTTATTTGCTCACCATTTGATCCTCTGCGGTGAATGGTTGCCATCAGAATGAGCATTCAAACAGCTGATAAAAACATCAAAATAATCTAAAAGTAATGATTCTAGTCCATTGATTAATGTCTTGTAAAATGAAAAACTGCTCGTTTGAAAGAAACAAACCAATAAAGTCATTTTCACTGTAACCTTCTGGTCAAAATACAAGTTTGTAGTTCACAATAACGCTTTCTCCAGTGGAAAAAGTCCCACTCCCTTTTGTCCTTTCACATCACAACCCACTGACACATTTTCACCCATTCACTGCAGAGGATCCAGTGGTGAGCTAATGATATAATGTTTAAGTTCTCCAAATCTGTTCAGAACAAGAAACAAACTCATCTGCATCTCGAATGGCCTAAAGTTGAGTAAATTTTAATTTTTGGGTGAACTATTCCTTAAAAGGAGGAATGGGTGCTCAGAGCAATTAAAAACTTGACTTATTCCCCTGCAGGCCTGATTATGGTGTTATTAATACTAGGGCTGCATGATTAATCAAAATTAAATCGCAATTGTGATTAGGCAAAAGGTAGGGCTGCACGATAAATCACATGCGGTAGTCATGCACCTCTTGTCAGTAAAGCCGGTTCTGTAATCAGTAGTAAATCTCCATCACGTGCTTTCAGATGGAGCAGCATTTACTACACAGAGCCGTAGTTTACAGACAAGCTATGCAAAAAAATTGCAGATGATATCATTGATATTATGAAATATTGTGTAGATTCTCAGTGAACTACGGCTCTGTATAGTAAGTGCTGCTCCTTCTGAAAGCAGGTAAAAATACCACACTTAACTTTTTTTTTACTCCAAACTCACTTCATAATGTCAGTCGAGTGTTTGAAATAAATCCTTCTGTGAGATGATGTGGCTTCTTACACAGAATAAGGCTCGCAACATATTTCATAGTATTCTAAGCAGTGATAAAGGCATTGCATTATTATATACTTTATTATAAGGAAAATTATACTAAGAACTCAGATAAACCATATATTGTCATAGTCGTGTGTTTATTAGTCACGTTGAATCAATGAAAGCAGTTAAATCTTCTGTTTATCCAGCTACCGCTATAGGAATTTCCTGGGTTTCTTCTGCGTGTGTATTTGGAGTTTCTGCGCAAGAGCGCCCTCTGGCCTTCGGATGGAGATTTACTACTGATCATAGAACCGTGCTTCACTGGCAAGATTGCGATTTATCGCAATTTATTGTGCAGCCCTAGCAAAAGCTGCGATTGTCATGCATATCTTTCAGTGCAGCACAGTTCTGTGATCAGCAGTAAATCGCCATCCGAAGGTCAGAGGGCGCTCTTGCGCTGAAACTCCAAATATGCCCCGCAGAAGAAAGGTAACACATCATTCAAGGAAACAGAAGTTTGAACTGCTTTCATTGATTCAGCGTGACTAATAAACACAGGACTATGACAATATATGGTTTATATGAGTTCTTCTTAGTATAATTTTCATTAAAATAAAAAATATTTATAATACAATGCTAAGTGAGTTTGGAATAAAAACATGATATTAAATTTGGTATTTTGTGGGACAAGGGGTTCACAAATGCTTTTCATGTTTGGAAAGCTGTTTGACGCATGTTGGTTTTTCAAATGCATGTTATAAACGATTCCAACTTATTTTTCAATGCGGAAGTAAGCCGTTTTCTGTCAATGGGCGAGACTTCCGGTTCATTAGCCGCTGTAGGGAAATAACAAGAAAAATAACAGTGCAGTAAAACGGTTTGCACTACAAACCAGTGTGTTCATAATTAGGATAACACATTAAAATAATGTGGTAAGACACCAGTTTGAAATATCAAGCCGCAAACGAGGTGTTTTGTACAACTAAAAATACTGGAAGCGAGTGACACCGAAAGCCAGACACATTAAGTTTACAAATGGCCACGCCCGCTCTTACGAAAAAATTAGGTGGATACATAAGCAGGTTCAGATGGAGCAGCATTTACTACACAGAGCCATAGTTCATTGACAAGCTACGCAAACTGCTTTCATAATCACAGAACAATTTAAGCGCAATTAAATCGGTCTGCGATTATTTAAGAGGTTTTGAGTTTCCGGTCACAGCGGTATCCCTTTTAGCCACAACCCTGGAATGACGTTTATTACCTTTCTTCTGCGGGGCATATTTGAAGTTTCAGTGTGAGAGCGCCCTCTGGCCTTCAGACAGAGATTTACTTCTGATCACAGAACCGTGCTTCACTGAAAGATAAGCATGACAATCGCATTCGATTAATCGTGCAGCCCTACTGCAGTATAGTTACTGTGCACCATTTGACAACCACTTAATATATATGCTAAAATCTCACCTCCACAGGCATTCTGGTTACCTACGATTGATGACTGATGGGCTGCTGTCAGACGTCAGCCTCTGTGACGTGTTCTTCCCGCAGGTGGCATCATTCACCTTAATCTTGGAGTTTCACACATGGAGTTGCTCACCGTAGGACTTTTGACCTGTAAATAGATTGGCCTTGATGCCAAGTTGTATTTCTTTGTTCATTTTATATCTGTATCATTAAAACTTTTTTGTAAAACATTGTAAAGTAATCTGTTCACATTTTCTGTTTTGTTTATAAGGTTGTAACAAAGTGCTCGATCAAACTGTCTTGTGCTCAGCACCTGCAGGTTTAGCATCTTGTGAGTCTGAAGAAATGTCAATGGAACCATTTTTAAATTAAACATGTTTATACAACTGTCCAAAGATGTGGTTTTGAAGCCTTTCAGACATGCTTATAGTTGATGTGTGTAGCTCAACATAATTCCACCTGCGAGTGCAAATTGATTTTATGCCGTTCTTTTGCTAGGTTTCGTTTTCTTGTTTTTTTCTTGTTTGCTTTTGCAATACTGGCATTTTTTAAGTCACTTATAAAAACAAATCTTATACAAATATACACACTGTGACCACCTCTCTCTTGAGTTTGATTTGGTTCAAGTTACATTGCACTTATTGAGGAAACAGTTGTTTTTATGCTGATTTTGAGGGGAAAAGGGGAGAATGTTAATTCAATGCCTCAAATGAAGATTGTGCCATTGTAACTGTTACCTCTTTAATTCATTAAATCTTTCAAGAGGTTACTTTGCATCCAAATGGCTGTTTTCATTTGTTTTCTTGGGTTAGTTGTCAGAAGGTTTAATGACCACCATAGGATCCTTTAAGTCACTGAATTTAATTTTATTAGGATCCAACTTTATCTTTATTTTTTTTATTTGGGAGTCAGTTTATATGAATATAATTTTACAATGTAATTTGAACTGAAAATATACACAGCAATAGGAATATTTTGTTTTATTTTTGTATTTCCTCTATGCAATTTTTAAAGGCGTGTACAAAAAGTTTACAAAAGAACCAACTGTCTGTGAATTGAACACTTGAGGCATGTAAAGAAAAGTTATGCTATATAGGCCTATTATTTGTGAACAATATTTTTGTGTAATTTCCACCAGCTTTAAATCTGCCAAATTGTCCAAAAAGTGGAAATATTATATAATTTGTGTGCATTTAGGAAGCATACTATGAATTCAGCTTTTCAAGACGATTGTTCGGCCATGTTATTAATAAGAATCATAAAACTTGTTGAACGCCTTACCCTGAAAGCCTTACTTTCACGCTTTGTGGCTAATACAGCGGATGTGATCTAAATTCTGTTGCTTTACAAAAGTCCCCCATAGCACCGGTTAGTTGATTTTCCCATCAGAGATGAATTTACTATCCATTTTAGTTTAGCCTACGTTAGGGTGACCATTTTTTCGGAGACAGTCCCGGTTTTTGGTGTCTTGAACCCGTCTGTACAGAAATGTCCCTGTTTTACAGCATGTTCAAAACAGCCCTCAATTCCAAATACATTGCAAAAAAAGTAAGATCACCAGAGGAATCGTGTAGTGATTATTTTCACCAACAGAGGGGGCTGCGAGCTACACATTGCTTGTTTTTGCGCCGTTACTTCAGTGATGAAGAGCTGTAATAAATCTTTCAAGAGGTTACTTTGCATCCAAATGGCTGTTTTCATTTGTTTTCTTGGGTTAGTTGTCAGAAGGTTTAATGACCACCATAGGATCCTTTAAGTCACTGAATTTAATTTTATTAGGATCCAACTTTATCTTTATTTTTTTTATTTGGGAGTCAGTTTATATGAATATAATTTTACAATGTAATTTGAACTGAAAATATACACAGCAATAGGAATATTTTGTTTTATTT